GGGGGGGGGCCTGCATTGTGGAGGGCTTGGCGCCGGGCTCCCTCCCTGGTCTTTAAATGACAGCAAATGAGGTAAAGCCGGCAGGGTGGGGACGGAAGGGGGCGGGAGGGGTGCAGAAGGAAGCCGTCTCCAGGGCCCGAGCGGAGCGTCGGCTGAGGACTGGAGCCAGCCAGTGAGAGGAGCCTGGGAGAGGGAGGAGCACATCTTGATGCAGAGATGCTGCAGTGGCTCCGGGCGCGCACACACACGCGCCCTCAAACGCCGCCGTCACCGCCGCCGCCGCGCCGCCGCCGCCAGGACAGCCGCTAGCGGCTGAGACAGCGGGAGGAGAGAGAGCAGAGTGGGCGCCGGGGCTGCTGCCGGCCTGGCTCCCCCCACCCCCTCCGCAGCATCGTCCACCTGCCCCAGCCAACACCCTTCTTTCACCTCAGGTAGGTGCCAACCGTTTTTGATCTCCTCCAGCCGGGGGCTGCCCAGCGCCTTACCCAGGGCTCCGAGGCTGCCATGCACCTTGGCTGGGGCGGGGTGGAACTGAACCGATGCTGGGGCCAGTCTGACTTCTCACCTCAGCCCCACAGTGGCCTCACCAAAGGTGCCCCCTATGCCCCCTACCCTGTTTACGCGGGTGGCATCTTGCAGGGCCCTGCAGGCCAAGCCTGCTTAGCAACTTGGACCCAGCAGAGTGTCCAGGAATTTGAGCCAGGCTCCCACAGGCACTAACAACTGCCTGGAGAAAAGGCTGGCCACAGGGCCTGCCCTGGCCCCCCAGAACAGAGCTAGCCAGTCTGTGAGGCCAGGTCCCAGACCCTAGCCTGGCCCCAGAGGTCCTGGGATGGCCCAGATCTGAGTGTGCCTGGGTCTGCTCTGCAGGTGACCTGTTTGCAAAGTCTGCTTCAGTTTGACAGAGGGGGCAGCTGTGGGAGAGAAGAAGGTGTGCAAGTTTGGACAATGAGCTGTGCAGGAGCAGGGACTTCAGGAGAAGCTGAGGCAAGCATATCCCAAAGAAAAAGCAGCTGGACCACCAGGGCCAAAATTCCTCTTCTTCCCTTCCCTTCTCCTCTACCTTATCTGCTCAGATCCCTCCTCCCCCTCACCGGTGGGAAGGAGGGGAAGGTTTGCTGGAAGTTTGTCTTTCCAGCAAGGACACGCTAGGGCTGGCAGGGGGCTTCCAGGCCAAGATCTAAGCCTAGAGGGCTCTGCTCCTCCCCCCCACCCCCCAGTGCCAGGGCCTCCAGCAAGGGTCAGAGGTGGGACGCCAGCCCAGTCCGTGACAGGCTGAAGCCTATCATTTTCTCCAGGAGGAGCTGGAGGTCTGAGAATCAAGAAGGAGGTACAGTGAGACAGGCCTGCTCAAGGGGAGCCCCAGTACTACTGGGGGACAGACTGGGGCCCCACAGTTGCAGGCCCAGGAGGTGAGGGACTTCTGTGTCCCCGTAGGAAAAGCTGCCAATCAAAGTTGCTATGGGGTTTGGGAATCCAGACAGATCAGCTTGGGGGGTGGGGTGTGCCTGAGAAGGGTGGCCTACCAGCCCCAAGGGTCCTGCCCCTAACTTTCTCCCCCTCCAGTCCAGCTTGTCATGGTCAGAACCTACCTCCTTTCAGCCTGATCCTTCCAAGGCCCCCCAACTCCCTGCTCTGAGGGGGGGCGGGGAGGGACAGCCCAGTTCAGTGGGGATCTGACCTCATTCTGAGCAGAGTGTCAGGGTCCCCTCCCATTCTGCTAGCCAGAGGGCCCCTCAATCCACCAGCCTCTGGCTCTCCACCTCCAGTCCACTGAGAGGACCAGATCAAGGGTTAAGTAAAAGATGGGCTACCTGTGAGAGAGGTTGGGGTGACCAGGGTCCCCTGAGCTCCAGGTTTGGGGGGCAGGGACTCCAGGTCTAGGGGGAAGTTCTGTCCTTACAGAAGCTGCAGGCACTCCCAGGCTCCTCTGTTAACTCCTTTCTAGCCAGGCTGCAGAATCATTCAGGCTCCACTTTTCCCACAAGGTCAGAGTTCTCCCTAATTTCCCAGAGAATCTCTCAGGAGTGCTCAGCCAGCAACAGGGAGATGGATGAGATGGGGATCCTGAGCCCTGACATCCAAGTCACCCCAGATGCACTGATACCCTGTGCTCACTGTGAGGGGGAGGGCGGAAGAGGCTCCCCAGTTCACCCCTACACTCCCATCCCAGGGCACTCCCAGCCGGGCCCAAGGGCTGCGACTTCAGACTTCAGCCCTTCCCACCCCCACACCATCCCCCTGCCAGATTTCACTCCTTATGCAATTCAATCCCAGCACCTTCTCTGCTAGTTGGTCCAAATAGAGACACAGGAGGGGTGGCCTCGGAGGAGCTGGGTTTAGGGGGGTGGTTGCACATATTGCCTCCCTCCAAACTGGCTCCTGGGAGTGAGCCTGTGGGGGGGGGGGGCGCTCCCAGGTCCCTGCTTCAGCTCTGAGGCCCTGGTGCCTGGCCGCAGTTTGGAGGAGGTGTCTCCACACAGCAAATATCCTCAAGCCAAATGTTTGCTAGAAAGTGTTATCTCAAAGGCAACCTCTAAGCCCAGTGGAGTGGTATTTGTAGGCTGGGGGGATTCCTAGGGCAGAACCCGATGCAGAAGAACCAGAGCTAAGAAGGAATTTAACTTGGCCTGCGTGAGTGGTGAGGACCCCCAGAGGGTCAGGAGAGCTGGGGTCCTAAGCTAGGGGCAATGAGGCCTGGAAGCAGGAGTGCGCTGGGCCCCCAGGTGTTTTTCTCAGCGCCAGGTCATCCTCTCCCAAAGGTAACAGGTGAGGTGACTCAGAAGCCAGTAAGAAGACCAGGCCCCTTTTCATTACCCCTGCAGGATAATGACAGGCCACCCTAATCTAGGGCGCCCCGGGGTGAAGGATCTACCCCTGTTAGAGTGAATTCTCTCTTATAAAATGAAACTCCATTTCTGCCTTTGTGTCCCAAAGAGGACACAAACAAAAGCAAAGGAGTGTGATGGTCTCACCCTAAAAATGGCAGCGTCCCAGGACACTCCAGGCCAGAGTGCACCTTAGGGACCTTCTGGGCTATTGAGCCCCACCCCACACCCCAGGACAAGCCTCTGTCTCCGCTGGTTCACATCTGCTGGGTGTCTGGAGTCCTGAGCGCCCAGTGCAGCTCATCTGAGCCCCAGAGCGGTCTAGCCCGAGGGGAGCAGGTTCAAGCCCACCCCCAGGCCTGGCTCTGAATCAGCCCCTAGGACTTTACCGGGCATGGGGGAGCTCTCGCGGAGAAGAGGGGGCATGAAAAATTGCTGTGCTGATTTCTTCCTGATTTGGCTCTTCAGAACCCAGCTGGAACAATTACCCCGTTCCTGGCGCTCTGAGGGGGACTCCCCTACCCTAGCCGGAGCCACCCACGGAGCAAGGCAGGAAGCAGAAAACTTAGGGTCTGGATTCAGCTGCCTTTTATCCCAGCTCCTCTGGAGAGGACTGAAGGCCCCTCTGTCCAGTTCCGCCAGCAGGGGGTCTCCAGGGAGCAAACCCCTCACTGCAGATCTAGGGCCAGCTGCCCCCAAGGCAAATCCCTGAGCCTGGGGCCCCCGGCCCCCCTTTGACGATGGGGGAGTGCTGGTGCTGCTACGGCCTGGGCCCCAGCTGCAAATACAAAGAGCCGCAGACAAACTGAGGGGCATGCAGAGAGGACAGGGGAGAGCCAGCTGCCAGGTGCCCTGACTCCACCCAGGCCCAGCGCCCCCACCGGGAACTGAGGCGTTTCCACCCAAATCTGCCCCGCCCTTCTCCAGCTCAGGACACCAGTACCCCTCTACCCCACTGGCAAGGGCCCCACGAGACCCCCAATGGCCCCTGACCCCCAGAGGGGTGTGGGAGGGTCCAGACTTTCCAGGAGCACAGTGATCCTGTTCCAGGTGGTGATTCCTTTTTTAAAGGCTGAGGGCCTCCCTTCCCCCCTCTCCTACCCCCAGTCTTAGACTTCCCAGTGGGGAGGTGGGGCTGCTTGGGGAGAACCCAGCCCCTCCTCACCCCACCCCCTGCAAGGCAGAGGCTCTTCTGTATCTCTGCGCCCTGGAGCCTGCATCTGGGTGGCCACAGTTGGTGCTTGCTTGGGCCTGCCATGCTGCAGGCTTAGGTAGGAGGAAGAGCCCGCCCTGGGAGACTGTGATGCCCCCAACACACGTGTGTACAGCCCCGGGAAGTGGGCCACCTCGAGTGCGTGCCATAGAGACGCCCTCAGTGCTGACATGGGGTCTTTCCCAGGCGCCTGCCATGAGCCAGGAGGGTGCCGCCTCGCAAGAGTCCAGTGACAGGAGAAGTAGCCTAGCAGCTGCCCCTATTTTGCAGAAGGGAGGTTGAGGCTCCGGCGGGTTAACTGATGAGCATAATGAGGTCCCACTGCTCCGTTTCTGAGGGTTTCGCTAGGTAGTAAATCTGCAGCTGGATAGCTGGACTGCTGCTTGCAGTGGGCTTGCAGGACTGTCCCTCAGGGGGTCCTGCCCGGCCTCAGTCCCCAAGAGGGACAGCCATCTGACAGTTGCTAAATCCCTCCATGCCCAACTCTCCATTGTCCGGGGGCCCAGAGGGACAGAGTCAGGGCCAGGAGCTGGGGATCCCAGGTGGTAGCATTTGTGGGGAATGTATCATTTTCTGACTGGCTCTGCGCAGATGTCCTCAGTCCGGCAACCCCTGTCGTGTGCTGGGGTCCAGCTTTCAGCCATCTGTCCCCCGGCTGTCTCCCAGCCCTTTGTTTCCCAAGCTCAGCATAAAGCCAGCTCCCCCTGGTGCCCCTGAACCCCAAGTTGCCCCACTCCCTATGTGCTGGTGCCTCCCAGCATCAACCCCACAGTGGCGACAGCCTGTGCCCGCCTGTGCCAGCCTGTGCCCACACCCCTGCATCAGGGCAGCTGGCCTGGGCCAAGTTGGCTGGCTCAGAGCTCACAGGGCCAGTGCTGGGCCTGGCAAGCTCCACTCTAGCCTTGCTCCCGACATAAAGGCCTCCTCCACCCTGGGCGTTCTAGAACGTGTCCTAGGGCGTAGTGTGGGGGCTGGCCAGCCCATGCACTGTGCTGCTTCGTCTGCCAGGGGCACCACAAAGGCAGGGCTTTTCTCGCTGTCTCTGCCACGCTTGGCATGTGGTTAATAAATATTGGCATGCAAATGAACATAGGGCAAGATGGAAGACGGTCTTCAGGGACCCACACTCCGTGGGCACACAATGGAGCCTAGGCACACAATGGAGCTCCAGGAAGCTGGGTCTGCAGTGCTCCCCAAGTACCATCTAGGTGCTCCCTAGTCCCAGCCCCACCCCCGGCCTGGTCTTGGTCCCCAGGGGGGTGCCCAGGGTCCTCCGGCCCAAAGGTGAACAAAGTCTGACTTAAACTGATTTAGGGCCACGGCAGGGCTGAGTCTTCCATGAGCTGTGGTAAGTGTCTGTGGTGACAGAACAGGTCACTCTGACCGCTGAGCCGTGGGGCAGTGATCCAGGGTGTGTGTCTCTGGGTCACAATAAGGCAGGGCTGGGTCCTGGGGCTCCCCGCCAGTGAGGGACACACACACACACACACCTGCTCTCCCCGCAGTGTGGAGGGGCAGCCAGACTCATGCCCCACGCGCCGGCCTAGGTCCCAGCTCCCGAGTCATCGTGTGTTTGCACGGGACAGGTGCCCCGAGCCCCCACTGGGCCCCCAGACCGGCAGGCAGACAATGGGCCGGAGCAAAGGTTGTCAAGCTCCTTCCCCCTCCATGATGGACGCTGGACTACAGACTCTTTTTAGCAGGAAGCTAATAAGAAAACCCAGTAGATGAAATAGCCATAACAGGGTGCCCTGACCCGGGAGGGTCTGGAGCCCCGTCCTTCCCTGGTCCCTCACCCCTCCAGGGCCCTAGGGCTCCCCTGCAGAGCTGTCCATTGGCTCCTCACCCCTTCCTGCAGGGCTGTCCATCACCCATGTACCCTCAGAACACCTCTCAATCCAGTGTCATGCCCCCACTTTGCAGAAGAGAAGCCTGATTCTTCTCCAAGGTCAGAACTTGCCCAAACTCATAAAACCCTCCAAAGACGAAGCTGCTGTCACCAACTCCTGTGCCTCGATCTCCCCACCAAGAGGTCGGCTCCCTCCTCCAAGGCACCAGAGTTGGCTTCTAGATCCTCCAATGCAGGCAGCTGCCGGCCCTAGAAACCTGGGTGTGTGCGCGGGAGGGAGGGAGTGGGGAGAGGAGCGTGTGCGAGGGTGTGTGTAAGATGACTGTGAGAATGTCCGAGCTGCAAGATGAGGGTGACGGCGTGCGAAACAGGGAGTGAGCAGCCGTGAGAGTTTGTGTGTCTATTTGAGTGTGTGCACACATGTGTGTGCGTGTCTACAGCGTGTGTGCGTGCGTGTGCGTGTGTGTATGTGTGCACATGTCCCTGACTTTGCCTTGGGATGGCCTTCGGGGGTCCCTGGAGACTGGTCGGCCTCGTCCGCTGTGTACGGAGCTCCATTCTGTGAGTGGCGTGTAAGTGGCAGCTGCGTGTGTCCGCTGGCTCCTGGAAGCGCTTCCTCACAACCGCTCTCAGTCATCTGCCCTGCAGGTAACGCCCACTAGGTAGCAGGCACGCTGCCAGGTGTGGGTGGTATTACAGTGAAGAGACTCAGTCCCCTACAGGGACCCCACAATTTCCTAGTGCAGGCAGGAACTTGAGGGCAGCCAAGACCAAGGCTGCATGGGGGGTGTCCTGATTGCATGGGGCGTCTGGGGCGTGAGCAGGGCCTGCAGGCTGCGTGCAGCAAGCAGGTGTGGCGTGAGCACAGGCACAGAGATGGGTGTGCTGGGGGACGCTGGAGAGGCTCGGAGTGCCTGCCCGGTTCCTGGGTGTGTGCGGGAACTGAAGTGCCAGGCACAGGGAGAATTGGGCATTTGAGGAGAGGTGACCCTGAACCCCCTTCCTGATAAAGGGAAACAGATATGAGGCTGAGCTGGCGGGAAGGAGCACCATCTGCTCAGCTCCTCAGTCCACTTCCTCCCTCACAGGCCCTGGGGTCGCTGTGCTCCCTCCCTCCAGTCCCTTGTGGTAGCCCTGGCTGTTGAAGGGGACAAGGTTATAGGGCGATTAAATGTTGAGGTTTGAAAGGGCTTGGGAGACTTCTTGCCCAGAGAACAGAGGGAGAACCCCGCTTTGGGTTCGTCTTCAATGCTGCCCAAACCTGGGACAGAGGCCGGTCTGCAGCTGCCTTCTCTGCCACCCCACAACCAGGGGGGAGCACCCCCGACACCCACCCCCTGGGAGTCTCACTGTCCCAGAGCTAGAGGGGACCTGAGAGAGCACCTGCTTTACTGGGGGGGGGGGGAGGGGGCACAGTGGCCGGGGCTCTGCTGCCTGATGGTGGCAGTGCCCCCGCCAGGCAGACCCTCACCCTCTCCTCTTAGATTTCTGCAAGCAGGCAGGGCCGAGGAAGCCCATGGGAGCCGGACTGGCCAGCTCCCCACGGCAGCTTCAGGACCCAGGCTCACCCAGATAACTGAAGCGGGCCCCTGAGAGTCCGTGTTTCCCCAGAACTTGAGTCCACCGGGTTGGGGAGCAGATGGACACTGGTGCTGCCCGTCCTCCCAGGATGAGGCCCACGCCCCAGGCTGAGAGGGGGGCTGTGACTTAACCGGGTCTCTCTCCCTTCTCCATGCAGGAGGGAGGCAGCTCTGGGGCAGCTGAACTCTCACCCAGAGGCCTGTCTGGGCCCTCAGCCCCTCTGATTGGGGAGCACCGCCAGTGCAGCCCTATGCGGGTGGGGGCCCAGGTGAGAGGGTCTGGGGGTCTCAGGGACATCCTGTCCCTAGCAAAGCAAGGCTGGCCTGAGACACTTAATGCAACTGCCAGAGGCCCGATCACCCCCACCCAGACCGCGTTGGGAAGGAGCGGGGGGAAAGGGCCCCACTTTTAGAGGAAGACATGCAATTTCCCTGAGCACAGTCAGTTGTCCCCCAGACCCCGCTTTAGGAGTCATTACGGCTCGGTGGGCAGGTGGATTCTTGCCTCCCAATTAGCTGCGGCTTCACTTCCTCTGAGCAGCACCTGCCGGCTGCAGGGCAGGTGGGGGGGGCGGCACAGGGAAGAGCCAGACTCCCCGGGGGCTGCTTGAGGCTCAGCCTGGAAGGACTCCTTGGTAATAGTGGAGTCTCATCCCCAGGGGCCCGGTGGAGGGGGGGCTGAGCGCTGGAGTGACTCTGCCCAGGTGGGGGAAGAGCAACAGCCCCAGATGTGCCTGCGCTGGGAGGGTGCGGGACTAGGAGTCCTCCCTGCTGCCTCCCCAGGTCCTTGAGTCTCCCCTTCTGTGAGCCCCACCGCCAGCGCTGAGCCTGCCATGGGGTCCCCCACCGGGAGGAAGTCTCACCTGCTGCTGGTGGTCACAGTGGTGCTGGTCTCCTCGCCAGGTAAGAGGGGGGTCTGTGCAGGGGTGATGCTGGCAGGGGTGCAGGGCGGGGGGCTGGGCCATGGTGCTGGGCTGGGGTGCTGGGCCAGGGTGCTGGGCCAGGGTGCTGGGCCAGGGTGCAGGGCTGGGGGCTGGGCCATGGTGCTGGGCCGGGGTGCCGGGCCATGGTGCTGGGCCATGTTGCTGGGCCGGGAAGTTGGGCTGGGGTGCTGGGCCATGGTGCTGGGCTGGGGTGCTGGGTCGGGGTGCTGGGCCATGGTGCTGGTCAGGGGTGGTCCTATGTCCTGGCACCTGCGTGGCTGTATGTTGCTTCAGTGCCACAGGGCCTGGGGTCTCGGTTTCTGAGACCACCTCCAGATACAGCGTTCCCACTGGAGACCCTTACCTGCCCCCCGAGGTGAAGAGGGCAGAACAGACTTGCCTGCCACAGTAGAGATGAAAGAATGACCCACGAGAGTGAGCACCTTGCCCGGGCCATGCAGCAAGATCGCGGCACAGCCAGACCTCCCCAGAGGAGCCTCGCTGGCTACACTGTCCCCGTGTCGCGCACAGCCACCTGCGACCATGGAAACCAAGATGAAATTGAATTGGAAACCTGGTTCTTCCATGGTGCTAGTCACATTTCAGGGGCTGGCGCCACTCTGGGCACACAGGCTATCCAGGCTCTGTCACCATGGCTGAGCGCCCGGACGTGCCTGCTACAGAGCCCTGACAGCAGGAGACAGGGTCAAATAGCACAGCATTCTGGGAGGGCTCCTGGGGCGACGCTGTGCTGGCAGCAGACACACTGAGAGACAGAACGGGATTGAGGAGAGAGGAGACGAGGTGGGCATGGAGGTCAGTGCCAGCCAAGAGGCCAAGTGGCCAGCGTCTGGAGTGCACCGGGCAGCAGGTTGCAGAGACCGAACCTGTCAGAGGGCTGGCGAGGTCTCCAGCACCTGCTACTGCTCGAGGGGCCGGCTGCCCCGCACCCCTCCCCCGGTGGGGCCTCTCTGCCCTCACCCCTAGCCCGACCGATAGATGTGTCCTTTTTCTCTCAAGATCTCCATGGGAGGGACCCTTGCTCCCCGGAGTTCAGGCCTCCAGGAGTCAGCCTCCTGCCCCAGCCCTGCAAGGCCGGAGCCACCTCTTAGGTCTTATCTCTCCAGGGGAGCAGGGGAGGACCCCACTGGCACATTTCAGCTGCCCCCATTATGTCCTGACTGCCTCCCAAGCCTGTCCCGGGTCTGCGAGGCTGCTGGGAGGTAGGGCTGACACAGCTATCTACCCGTGCCTGGGCCCCGGCCCGGAGGAGCCCTGGGCTGGGGGCCCCAGGCTGCACAGAGCCGGAGACAGCCCCACAGGAGCTGTGGAGAATGCTGGGGCTCCTCATCCTCCCCAGTCCTCAAGGAAGGGGACCTGTCGCCGGAGGCCGAGGCATGGCAGCTGGCATTTTCCTGAGACCAGGTGCAGGGAGGCCGAGGGAGAGCGGACCTGGTTGTCACGTCCTGGAGCAGACAAAGTCTCTCCACGCTCCTGGGCCCATCACACACCCCAGGAGGAGTGAACCCACCCACCGCTGCACCCACCCCCCATGAAGGGGCCTCATGCGAGGTTTTTCTGCCACCTTGTCCCAGGAGCACGGCAGAGGGGAAGGCCACTGAGAGCCCGCCCATGCCCGCCCCTCCACCCCTCTGCAGGCTGGCAGGGCCTGTGTTGGCCAGGACGGGAGCCAGGAGAGAACTGGAAAAGCTGCAGGGCCAGGAAACAAGGAGGGGATATGTATGTGTGTGTGGGTGTGTGCATGCATGATGTATGTATGTACATGGTATGGCGTGTGGTATGTGTGGTGCATGGTGTGTGTGTGTTGTGTGGTGTGTGTGCGGTGCATGGTGTGTGTGTATGTATGTGTACGTGGTGTGTGCGTGTAAATGGTGTGTGTGGGGGGTGCGTGGGTTATATGTGTATGTGTGTGGTATGTGTGTGTGCGGTGTGTGTATGTACACGGTGTGGTGTGTGTGGTGTGTGTGGTGTGTGTGGTGACTGTTATGTGTTATGTGTGTGTGCATTGTGTGTGGTGTGTGTGTGTACATGGTGTAGTGTGTGTGGTGCATGGGTTATATGTGTGTAGTTTGGGGGAGCTGTGAGGGTGAGCCTGCAGATGTCAGAAAGTGTGCAGAGATGAGTGGCTACATGATGGGGTGCTACATTTGGGGGTGATGCAAGTGTAGAGAAGGTCTATAGCACAGTCCGCGGCTCTACCCAGCTGCCAGATTCCAGAGCCTCATTCCCAGAAATTCCAACTCAGTGGTGCAGGGATGGGGTAAGGCCATTGCTGGTTCTGGTGGGAAACTGAGGCCAAGAATCCTAGACACTGCCAAAGCCTCTGGTGATGGGATGAGGCGGGGAAAGCCCAAGTCCCTAGATCTGCTCCTCCTTGTGCTGCAAATTGGGGCAGTGATTTTAACTTTCTTGAGCCTCAGTTTCCACAGTAGTATCTGTGTTACCAAGCATGGCAGGGACTGAGATCTGACACGGGAAAGCAGACCTGTCCTTTATTATTATGGATGCCCTGAGGTGTGTAAGTTCGTCTGTGCATATGTGTATCTCTGATCCCTGGGGTAGTGTTGGCAAGGCACCAGTGTGTGTGTGTGTGTGTGTGTGTGTGTGTGTGTGTGTGTGTGTGTGTGTGTGTGTGTGTGTGTGTGTGTGTGTGTGTGTGTGTGTGTGTGTGTTGTGTGGCCATTCGCTGGAGGAGGACCAGTGTGGAGACTGAGTGAGGCGAGCGAACACTGCACATTGCACGCAGAGGCGAAAGCGTCCTCAGAGAGGCCAGTCTGGAGCGTCAGTGTCCTGAGGCCATTCGCCCCCCACCCCCATCCAGACAGATTTACTGGAAGCTGCTATTTTGCAAGGTACTCCCAGGAGCCTGGCTGCTTCCTCAGCCCCTCCTCTGCCCCGCCTCCCGGAGTCCCAGCTGGGGCAGGGGTCCCTACCCTCCATCACCATCATTAACTTGGGATTAAACCGGGCGCCCCAGCCGAGATGATGCCCACAGGGTCTCCAAGGCCTGGGGCGGCAGTGAGGGATGCTGGCGGGAGGGGTGGGAGGGCAGAGGGTGCCATTGCTGAGAGCCCTGCTCGTTCCTCATTCTGAGAGCTGCTTAATAGCTGTTCTCGCTCCCAGGGGCCCCAGGCTGGGCCTCAGCTGTGACCGGGGGGCCACCTCCCATCCCTGGAATAGGCCCGACAGCTGGTTGTGCTGGGAGAGGAGGCACTAATTGGTTAATGGGTCCACCCCCGTACAATGACCAGCCAAGAGGGCCTGAAATCAGCTGCATGGAGGTCTGGGAACCAATTAGGGTGGTCTGGCTCCTGCCACAAAGGCGAGTCAAATGAGCAGGGGAGCCCGCCCGCGGCAGAGGGCAGGTGTGAAGCTGCCCCTGTGCCCTGCTCCCGGAGGCCAGACAATGGGCAGGAAAAGGTGGAGGGCGAGCAGGAAGACACCACTCACCTGTGTGTGATCCATCTGCTCAGCAAATTCAGGAGCGGCCTGGACCGGCCTGTCTGCTGTCACCCTGGCATTTTATGAAAATGCTCCCACAGCTACCCACATCCACCCATCATAAGGCCTTCTTCCCCCACCCCCACACCACCCCACACTGGGTCTGGCACCTTCCTGCTGGGTATACACCCTGCCCGGGCCTCCTCCTGTGGCCTCAGGGATGAGTCCAGGGTCCCCCCATTTTTGTAAGAGGCTCTTCTGTTGGGCATGCAGGCCAGACAGGGCCCTGGGCTCTGAGACACTCCACACTCAGGGTTAGTGGCCTGGTGCATCTTCCCAAGCGCACTTCAGACCCACAGAGAGAGCAGCTCAGGGCGCCCAGGCAAGGCTCGAGGCTTCCACCTGAGGCCCTGTGCCTGGAGCCTGGGGCGTGAGCCGTCACTATGGCTCCTGCCCCTGTGCTGTCGTCCAGCTCCCTCTCTGGACCGCAAACTCCTCCAGCAGAAGCCGCTGGCTTCCTCGTTGTTACCACACAGACTCTCCCCAGGCCAGGCACAGAGCAGGCCTTGGTGCCTGAGTGTGGGGGGCACGGACTGAACCAACGTGACTAGCTGGACCTTCAATTCAATTCAAATTATAATTAATTAAAATGAAATGGAATTTAAAATGCGGTTCCTCAGTCACATCCCACAGCCCTGGCTAGTGGCCACCCCTGGACAAGGCAGGAAATGTCCTGCAGGACAGCACCAGGCTGCAGCGGGCCCCTGGCCCTGAGCCCTCTGCTGCTGTCCCCACTGTAGCTCAGAGCTCCGCCTGGGGTGCCCCGGCCACCTTTGGGCCTGTCTTTGAAGACCAGCCCCTCAGCCTGCTGTTCCCAGAGGAGTCCACTGAGGAGAAGGTGACGCTGGCATGCCGGGCACGAGCCAGTCCTCCCGCCACCTACAGGTAAGAAAGACCCCAGGGTGGGGACCCCAGATGGCCCCGTGCCGTCAGGCCCTGCCACCGGGCCGGACTCAGGCGAGTGCCCCTCTCCCCCCAACACCCCCCCCCGGCAGGTGGAAGATGAATGGCACCGAGATGAACCTGGAGCCGGGTTCTCGCCACCAGCTGGTGGGGGGCAACCTGGTCATCATGAACCCCACCAAGGCCCAGGACGCCGGCGTCTACCAGTGCCTGGCCTCCAACCCCGTGGGCACCGTCGTCAGCAGGGAAGCTGTCCTCCGCTTCGGCTGTGAGACCAGGGGCTGCCAAGTGTGGGGGAGAGCCGTGGGGGGTGTCCTAGGGGGGCCCTGGAGCAGAGTGTGCTGGCCTCGTGTGACGTGAGGCAACCCAGAGGCTTCTTTCTCAAGGAGGCTGAGTTGGGGGAGGCAGGTGCCAGGTTCAGGGGTCCAAGTCTGAGGGCCTGGTCTGCACCCCCAGTTCTGCAGGAATTCTCCAAGGAGGAGCGAGACCCAGTGAAAACCCACGAAGGTTGGGGGGTGATGTTGCCCTGTAACCCACCCGCCCACTACCCAGGTGAGTGGAGACCCCGGGCCTCATTAGACACAGGCAGGGTGTCTAGAAGGGGTGGAATGAGAGGCCGCGCGTCACGGGGAAGCCGGCCTCCAGGGCCCCCAACGCTGGCAGATTCTGCGTTTGCATTGTGGGTCCACCACTCTAGCTCTGCACCTGCCTCCCTTCAGACGGGAGGCCCGCCGTGGCGGGGGCTGCTTTGCCAGAGAAGGCGGTCGCCAGGGCAGGAATAAAGCCGCAGCTTCCCTCAGGATCTCCCCTCTGACCCCGTGCAGAGGCGAGGGCCCTCAGGACAAGGTGGGCACACCCCGCCGCATTTGGGGGCCCCACCGGAATCGCCTGAATGTAGCGCAACCCTGGTGTCCTAGGCTTGTCCTACCGCTGGCTCCTCAACGAGTTCCCCAACTTCATCCCCACCGACGGCCGCCACTTCGTGTCTCAGACCACGGGCAACCTATACATTGCCCGAACCAACGCCTCGGACCTGGGCAACTACTCCTGCCTGGCCACCAGCCACATGGACTTCTCCACCAAGAGCGTCTTCAGCAAGTTCGCGCAGCTCAACTTAGCTGCTGAGGGTCAGGGTCGCGGCTGGGGCGGAGGGGTGAGAGGACCCATGGGAACAGGGGCTGGCGGGTACCAGGCGCAGGGTGGACCCTGGCTCCTCTGGCGGCCCGGTCTCAGCCCCTTGGCCCGGGGCCCCCAGGACCCAGGGGGTCCATGCCTTGTGGGCTCAGAGTCCTGGCCACAGGAGCATCTGCCCTCCACCCTTTGCATCTGATCTGCAAACCCCTCTCCAGACACCAGGCTCTTCGCGCCCAACATCAAGGCCCGGCTCCCAGCAGAGACCTACGCGCTGGTGGGGCAGCAGGTCACCCTGGAGTGCTTCGCCTTCGGGAAGTAGGTGGCAGAGGAGGGGCACTGCCTCTTGGCATCCCCCTGCGGCGTGGGGCACCCCGGGGAGGAGCAGGCAGGTCGGCCCCGCGTTCCCTGGGAGCCCTTCACAGCAGCCATAGGGCATCTCCGGGCGTGGCATCGCACATACCAGCCTCCTGCCACACGCTGGGTCCTGCAGAGCACACGGCAGTCTGGGACAGTCCAGCAAACACAGGGGGGCAGTGGCAGGAGTCCAGACCCAGCTGCCTGCCCGACACCACGCATCTCCACACTGCCCTCCCCTCCACACACACGCATGGCCGTGCTGGTAACAGTGGGCACTCGAGAGGGCTATTATGAGGTTACCCAGGTTAGTGCTTGGAAAGCGCCTGGCACTAAAGAAGGGTTATTTGTGTGCTAACAATCACAGCGGAAGTTTTGTTCTCCCAGATGAAGGGCCCATTGGAACAGGGCTAGGCAAACAGCAGGTGCTCAATAAATGTTTGTAGAATGAAGAGAGACCCTCAGTGTCTTCTGGGGTTCCTCAGCATACCACCTGCATTGTGGAGAGTAATGGGGCATCCAGAAAATTCATATTAAAAGCACAGAAGTACCTATGAAGACTCGTTGGCACCTTAGTTCATTTTTGCACACAGATTACTAATAACTGAGGCGCCTTTGAGAGCCTCGGGGAGAGGGAGGGCAGCCCTGAAGACCCAGGTCACAGGCCACTGCTGAGGAGGGGGCCCTAGAAGAGGTGAGTGGCCATGGCAGGGGTGGGAGAGACCCGGCTGCAGGGCACAGATCACACAGAACGCCAACTGCATTGGCATCTCAGCTGGTGCAGGTGCAGGAGAGAGGGAGCTGCTTCTGCCCCTCATCTGCTGTGCTGAGCAGGTCTCTCCCCTTCCTGCTTCACAGGCCCTGACACCCCTACAGTCCACACACCTGCTCTGGGGGGCACACGGGTCTGGGAGCTGCAGGCACAGGGGAGCCTGCCCAGCTCAGCCCGCCCTCGGCGTTTTCCCTGACAGCCCGGTCCCGAGGATCAAGTGGCGCAAAGTGGACGGCTCCTTGTCCCCGCAGTGGGCCACAGCCGAGCCCACCCTGCAGATCCCCAGCGTCAGCTTTGAGGACGAGGGCACCTATGAGTGTGAAGCCGAGAACACCAAGGGCCGGGACACCGTCCAGGGGCGCATCATCGTGCAGGGTACAGAGCCAGGACCCTCTTCCCTTGCTTGTCCCGAACGGGTCATGGCCCCGACAGCCACAGAAGGGAGTGGGCAGCTCCCTTGCTGAAACCTTCTTGCCCCAGATTGCGCTAGGTGGGTGTGGGGACAACCACCCCTGTGGCCTGCTCGAACTTCAGTCCGAGTTGCAGAGAGTTGGCATCTTTTCCTGGGCCTGCTCATCCTGCTGCGCTCCATGATGAGGACGCCCTCTGCGGGTTTTGTCAGGAACTGCATCCCGAGAGCTCTGGTCCTTTGACCAGCCGGCAGCTGCCCTGGGCCCATCCACATTCCTTCTCGCCTTTGCTCTCCACAGCTCAGCCTGAGTGGCTCAAGGTAATCTCAGACACAGAGGCTGACATCGGTTCCAATCTGCGCTGGGGCTGTGCGGCCGCCGGCAAGCCCCGGCCCACCGTGCGCTGGCTGCGGAACGGGGAGCCTCTGGCCTCCCAGGTAGGAGACCTGGACTTCCTCCCCACGTCACCTGGTTCCCTCACCACCAGACCACCCCTGCTCTGCTGGCAACCCCTAGGACAAATCAGGGTACTATGGGGGAGCTCTAGGTGCTTCTTTCATCCCAGAATCCCATCAGACTGCTCAAGCAGTCCTGGTGGGCAAGCTCAGAGGCCTGGTCCGGACACCGCTCAACCCCAAATATGCTGCAGTCTCTAGGGGGGGGGGGGAGGCCCCGGGGCAATTTCAGAGCCCTGGGGTCCCGGGCGACCCCGGGCCAGGACTGGACAGATGAGCCTCGTCAGTGGAGGCCCCCACAGCACCCCCTCAGCCCACCCCATGCTGCCATGGCCTGATGCCCTGGCCCACCTGGACCGCCTCTTGCAGACCCGGGTGGAGGTGCTGGCTGGGGACCTGCGCTTCTCCAAACTGAGCCTGGAGGACTCGGGCATGTACCAGTGTGTGGCGGAGAACAAGCACGGTACCATCTATGCCAGCGCCGAGCTGGCCGTGCAAGGTAGAGCCCCCGGAGGCAGGGGACACACCCCAGGACACACTGCGGTTCTGGGAGCAGCATTTCTTAACACACATGCTCACACGCACACACACACACACCAGCAGTCCTCAGCTTCTGGGTAGAATGTGGGTATTTAAGAAAGATGAGGCCCCAGGCTGAGTGTTCCTGAAACGGTTCTGGCTCGCTCCCTGCCTGCACTGGGCCTAGTCAGTGTCTGTGCGTGACTCAGAGGGCACCTTGATCATAAGGGGGAAAGGTGGACGTGGAGACCAAACCAGTTAGCTTTGTGCCTAGCCCGGCCCTGTCGGCTATGTGACCTTTGGCAAGTTACTTAATCGTTCTGTGTCTGTCTTGGATCATAAGATGTGAACAATCACGGTCTGCTCCCATTCATAAAGGTGCTGGTCTTAATTGTGTGGCTTGGCTCATGGAGTCTCAGTTTCCCCATCTGTGAAATGGAGATACTGCTCTCTACCCCCTCAAGCTGTAGAGAGGCTTCACTAAGACTCATGCATCTGTTCATATGAATATTCATTCAACCCACCAATATTCATTCATGATAGCCTAAAGAATAACCTGAAAGGTGAAGGCTGGCCTTCAAGTATCTTACAAAAGTGGAATGCAATATAAAAAGATCACGCTTAGTGAGATAAGCCAGAAAGAGAAAGAAAAATACCGGATGGTTTCACTCATAGCAGGAGTATAATGGACCAGGTGGAAAATAACAAAAATAATGAACAACCATAGACCAGAGACATTCTGTGGGGGTAGAGTGGGGAATGGGATCAAAAATGGGGGGGGGGAGGGAAGCGCACGGGACTATGGTGATGGCACACGGGTGACTTGGTGATGGGAAACCCACGGGGATTACAATTGAGGTGAAAAAAAAAATGTACAAAATGATGTAAAAATAAACTGTTAAAAAAAAATAAAAAGATTCCAGCAGAGGAAGGGGCTGAGGCAGAAAGGACGTCACGTTGACATCAGGATGAGACCTGAGGTTGGAGCTAATCACGTGAAGACCTGGGGGATTTCTAAGTTAGCCCTGCAGCAAGTGCAAAGATTCTGAGGTGGGAAAAAACTTGGTCGCCTCAAAGGACAAAAATGGCCCAAGAGACTGGAGCACAGGAGTGAGGGACAGCAGAGGGGAAGTGGTCAGAGAGGTGGGGGCTTATTTGTGAGCCCTTGGGAGGAGCTGGGTTTCATGCTGAGGCCCAGAGTGTGGTTTGCAAGCCATTCCTGACTGCTGGATGGGGCTGAGGCTGCAGGAAGCCATCGCAGAAACCAGAAGACTGAGGAGGGGCGAAGGGCTGGATCCCGGTGTGCTGCTGGGGCCCTTGGTGGGCTGGCTGCAGAGACCCCCCCAGTCAAGTAACATCTTGGTGAAAGACAATGAGCACTGTTGTGACTATGTGGGGCCCTGTTTTTCTTCCAGCACTGGCCCCCGACTTCAGGCTGAGTCCAGTAAGGCGTCTGATCCCCGCGGCCCGTGGAGGTGAGATCGCCATCCCCTGCCACCCTCGGGCAGCGCCGAAGGCCGTGGTGCTCTGGAGCAAAGGCACTGAGATTCTGGTCAACAGCAGCAGGTGCAACCCCTCCCCCCCCCCATAACTCTGGGTCTCCTCGCTGTTCACCCCCCCCAGGGGCAACGCCATCCCCTCTGGGGTTGACCGTCCATCCTGTCCTTGCCGTAGAGTGACAGTGACTCCAGAGGGCACCCTGATCATAAGAAACATCAGTCGGTCAGACGAAGGCAAATACACCTGCTTTGCTGAGAACTTCATGGGCAAGGCCAACAGCACGGGCGTCCTGTCCGTGAGAGGTGGGCATATGCTCGGCCAGCCGTCGGGGGTGCCCTTCCTCCTCGCCATTCGGCTCCTGTGCTCCCACATCCCTAGCATGGCCTTGAGGTTACCCCAGGGGTCCCCCTCCCCCCCTTACCACCTCCTAGAATCCGCTCCTGCCTCCAGCCCACCCTTCTGGGGCCCCTGAGAGGTCAGATGGCCCCTAGCCATGCTGCCTCTTCTCTCTCTATGGGGGCAGACAAACCCCCTCTCCCCACCGGGCCTATGTTCTCCCCATCCACCGGGGGTGGGGGGGGCTTGTTTCTCTTGGCAGATGCAACCAAGATCACGCTGGCCCCCTCGAGCGCCGACATCAATCTGGGGGACAACCTGACCCTGCAGTGCCATGCCTCCCACGACCCCACCATGGACCTCACCTTCATCTGGACGCTGGACGACTTTCCCATCGACTTTGATAAACCAGGAGGCCACTACCGGAGGTCCAGTATGGTAAGGCCTGGGCCGGAGAGCCCCGGCGCCTCCTTCCCCTCAGGCTGGTTGGGGGTCCAAGGTGTCCTTAACCCACACCTCCCCCAGGTCTCCCCCTCCCCCCCAGGAAGGCCAGGCCTGGAGGTTCATTCTTGGATTCATAACCACCCTCCTATTGAGGGCCAGGTCCCCCGATTCTACCCCAAGTCTGCATGAGGAGAGGGAATTCAGGCCCGTGGCCAGACTCGCCTCCCACTGCCATTCCCGCTCTCCTCACCCCCAGTCCAGTCCCCCTGGATTATCTGGCCTGGCACAGACTCGTGGGGAGCAGCTGATCCCTCCCATTCAACAGATAGCAACACTGAGGGCCAGAGGATCATGTATGGAACAGAAGGGCCTCGGGCCCCCTCTGGCCTCGTGGCCCACTGGCACCCTCCGACCTGCCCCTTCCTGTCCTCTGCGTGCAGAAGGAAACCGTGGGAGACCTGACCATCCTGAACGCCCAGCTGCGCCACGGAGGCAGATACGCGTGCGTGGCCCAGACGGTGGTGGACAGTGCAACCAAGGAGGCCACCGTCCTGGTTCGAGGTGACGGCGCTTCCCACCCACACGCCTACTCCCTGGTTGACGGTGACCCTCCCTCCCTGACATGCCTCCCCTTGAAAGCTGCGGGGAGGGCTCCTGACACAAGTCCCCTGGGTTGAACTTATGGCGCGGTTCCCAGAGGTCCTAAGTGAACACAATATTCTCCCTCCAAACCCAGATTTCAGAAGTTCGCTCCTAACATATCCTCTGACTGGAGCCCTTGGCCAAAACTAGAAATCTTCAGTCAACAGCCCATGTTGGGAAAGCTACACACAGCTCCATGAGAGCAGGCCCACCCCCAACTCCAGCCCTGGACACGGTCCACCTACCTCACAGCCATTCACTGCCCCAACTCCTTGCCTGGCCCCTGCCCCTGGGGTGTGTTTGTGGCCCCCTCTGATGCCCCCTTCGCGGTCCTGGGGCTGGAAGCTGCCCTCTTGTGACTGACTCTGCTCTTCCCTCTGACTGCAGGCCCCCCGGGCCCTCCGGGAGGCGTGGTAGTAAGGGACATCGGAGACACCACTGTCCAGCTCAGCTGGAGCCGTGGCTTCGACAACCACAGCCCCATCGCCAAGTACACCCTGCAGGCACGCACTCTGCCGGCCGGGAAGTGGAAGCAGGTTCGGACCAGTAAGTGTGAGCCCTCCCCCCCCCCCCCCCGGGTTAGTTCTGATGCGGCCTGGCTGCAGAGGGCCGAGGATGAGCCCGGAGCTTCAGAGCAGGGCTTGGTGTTATCTGCAGGGAGGAAGGCAGGGCAGCAGCAAGGCGGGGAGAGAGCTGGGGGAGGCTGTGCTCCCCAGTGACCTTGGGAGACTGGCGGGATGGACCCCGGAGCCGCATAAACACTCCTGAGGGTGTGGTGTGCACAGCACCCCTAAAGGCTGCAGGCTTCCTGACGGCACCTGCAAGAAGTCAAGGCCACTGAGTTTACGGCAGGGCCCACCAGGAGGGCTGGGCACAAGAGGCCATTCTGACCCAACCCCGGCCCTCTCCGTCCAGCCGATGGACGACCACCGGCTAACCCCCAGCTGCCTTGCAGACCCCACCAACATCGAGGGCAACGCCGAGACGGCCCAGGTGCTCGGGCTCACGCCCTGGATGGACTACGAGTTCCGGGTCTCGGCCAGCAACATCCTGGGCACTGGGGAGCCCAGTGGACCCTCCAGCAGAATCCGGACCAAGGAAGCAGGTCAGAGTCCTGGGTGTACCAAGGAGAAGCAGCGTGGGGCGCACATGAACCGTCCTTAGAGGGGTCCCCACGTTAGAGGGGTTCCCACCTGCTCCCTGGGCTCACCCCTGAAAGAGCATCAGTGCCAGGGCTGCCGCCTGCCCGGACCCAGCACCCATCGGGGCGGGGGAAGCCCATCCCGTCTGAACCCCTCGGGCCAACCCTACAGCTGCGTGCAGATCGACAATCAGATCAAAAGGAAGAGTTTAACTAAAAAAGAAAAGAAGTCAAAGTTTGGAGAAGGGAAGGGTCACACTGGCGGAGCCTGGACTTGGCCGGGATCGTGAGGTGGTAGGCACAGAAGCGGGAAATTCAGGAGCTGCAGAAACCAGTTAATGAGGAAGGGTGTGTGTGTGTGTGTGTGTGTGTGTGTGTGTGGGTGTGGGTGCAGGCACGCACACTTACATGTAGAGGGCACTAGGGGAGCAGTGCTCGTCCTGCTTTACATGGTTTTTCTGGGAATGACACCTTCCCACACCCACTATTAGGGTGCATGGGAAGGAAGGGGCAGTGCCAGAGAAGGAGCACACCCCCCCTCCGCAGCTGCTGCCAGGCTCCTGCCCAGGCAGGTGGAAGCTCAGGAGGTGGGGTGGAGAGCAGCTCGGTCTGGGCCCACCAGCCTCGCTACCCAGCCTGTGCCAGTCGACGTGCGTCTCCAAGCTTTGGGGGGATTAGTCAGCGGTTTTAAGTGCCACCTCCCCTGGGTAAGGAATTCCAGACAGAGCACCTCTCTGGGTGAATTTGGAGCAATGTCAGGAAGGTCTCCACCCTCGCGTCCCTGGAGTGACAGAGTAGCGAGAGTGGGCTTTGTTTGGGACCAGGAGAGCTCCCCCATGTGTACATGGTGTGACCTCAGCAAGTCCCTTAACTGCTCCGGGCTCGTCTTTCCACAATCCTGGCAGGAGTCCTGGGCTCCTTGTCATCACAAGGCCTTAGCTGCCCCTGCTGGGACCCGAGCGAAACGTCTCGATTGCTGGACTCTGCAGAAATATCCTGACCCTCAGCCCAGCTATCCCGTGGCAAGCTGCGTGTGCTGATGAAATACATTCTTGTTTTAATATCCGCCTGGTAAAATACTAGAGACAATTAGGAAATTCAATCTGCTGTGGAAGTAAAAATAATAATAAAAGACCCTGTAAGTCCAAAGAAATGCTTTTTTCATTCACTGCAGCTCTGGATTATTTATTCCCCATAATTTAAAGCTAAATGTGGCTGGTCTCCGTTGTTTAAGTTAAACCAGTAATGATCCTTTTTGGTGCATCTGTTACATGCATTTTTATTCTGGCCACTGTCTTGTTTAATTTCATTTTCCTTTCGGCTCTTTGAAAGGAGCATCCTCAGGTTATGAAGAGGGGAGTGAAAGGCTCAGAGAGGCCATGTGACTTGCCCAGGGAAACACAGCTAGTAAGTGGCAGAAATGAGACTTGATCTCAGGTCTGCCTGGCTCCAGAGCTCACATCCAGTGATTAAAACCTGGCCCCCACACGAGGGGTGTCCCACCCCAGAACGCAGCTCAGGCTTGGGCTTTTGCTCCTCGTGGGTCAGTAACAAGCTAAGTGAGTGTCCCTTGGCCTGACAGCGCCCTCAGTGGCCCCCTCGGGACTCAGCGGAGGCGGTGGAGCCCCTGGAGAGCTCATCGTCAGCTGGACGGTAAGCAGGGGGAGCTTGGGCCGTATCAGGGGGGCCCAGACGGGCCACCGCCCGTCCGCTCCTGCTGCCATGAAAACGGGCTGCCTTCCCCGTGCAGGCGGGGTGGGCGAGGGTGGGGAGGGAAATTTACGGTGGCCCCTCGCCCACGCTTCCTCTCGCCCCTCAGCCCATGTCACGGGAGTACCAGAACGGAGACGGCTTCGGCTACCTGCTGTCCTTCCGCAGGCAGGGCAGCGCCAGCTGGCAGAGCGCCCGGGTGCCCGGCGCGGACACCCACTACTTCGTCTACAGCAATGACAGCATCCGGCCCTACACGCCCTTTGAGGTCAAGATCCGCAGCTACAACCGCCGCGGGGACGGGCCCGAGAGCCTCACCACGCTGGTGTACTCAGCCGAGGAAGGTGGGCCAGCCCTGGGCACCTCGCCGGCCCCGCCCAGCCACCAGTCTTGGGGTGCTGGAGTGCCGGTTCACCCCGTTCAGCTCCATGGAGGGAGGTGGGGGTCACTTGGGTTCTAAGCCAATGGCTACATTCCTTGTCCTTGCCACCTGTACCCCCTCAGGCCTGGGGGCTACAAAGTGGGGGAGAAGCTTCTGGGGTGCTCCAGGAGCCTTCATGGGGCCTTCATCCTGGACTGGGCTCTCTAAAATCCTAAGCAAGGGTGGTCCCAGTTGGCAACTGCTCTTTAGGACTCAGAGAGACCCTGAGAATCCACACCCCTTCTTGTCGGTCCCCAGAACCCAAGGTGGCCCCTCCTAAGGTCTGGGCCAAGGGGGTCTCATCCTCAGAGATGAATGTGACCTGGGAGCCTGTGCAGCAGGACACGAATGGCATCCTCCTGGGCTACGAGGTGAGCTCCGAGCCAGGGCCCGGAAGAGGAAGGGGTGCTGGGGCGTCTGCTGGGCCTCAAGGTCGAGGGGAACCTCACATCCCGCCAGCCCAGGATCACTCACTCGCCGACTCGGCAAGCCGCCCACGTCGGCACAGCGACGTGGACTCAGCCTTCATGGGGCCGTGTCACTGCTGCCGGCCTGGAGCACGGCTCTGCAGACAGCCTGGGAGTCAATGGCCTCGGCTGGAGCCAGCCCTGTGAGCTGTGGGCGCCCAGGGAGGGGCTGGTGCTGCAAGGGGCCTGGCCTGGCTCCCCGGGCTGCAAGAAGACAGCACGGCCCCTCCTGGGGGAGCTCTGGGCCGGCAGTTGCCGGCCTGAACCCTGCACACTGGTGCCTGTAGAATAGATGGAGAGCAAGAGGGAGCAAGAGGAGGGGAAGCAGGAGGAGCAAGAAAGGTCATCGCCCGAGAGAAGCATCGGGCGGGCCCCATAGGGCCCGCGGGGCATGAGGTGATCGGTTAGGTGAGCCCCAGGGAGCTGACACCTCCGAACTCACCCTTGACCTGCAAGGATATTCAGCAGGTCTTAGTACTAAGATGACTCTTAAAATGGATTTTGCAGGTCTTGTTATTATGCTCGTTAACTGCCACAGCTTGCTACCGTGCAAACCCAAGTGCATTTCATACCCCGCAGAGGAGTTCACATGGGTTCTCTGGGTTACCTAAGTGGAGCTGGGTTCCAGCTGACTCCCCCACTCGTCCCCCACCCCCTCGCGTGCCCCTCATGCAGCCCGGGGCACAGTGGGGACTCACCATGCTCTCGATACATCTCAAGACGGACTTCTGAGACCCGGACTGAGCCACAGGGAGAAGCACCAGGCCGGGGTCACAGAGGCCCTGAGGCCCCGGGCTTGACCCACGGCCCTCCGGTACCCCTGCTCCCTTCAGATCCGCTACTGGAAAGCTGGGGACAAGGAAGCAGCTGCCCACAGGGTGAGGACAGCAGGGATGGACACCAGTGCCCGAGTCACTGGCCTGCACCCCAACACCAAGTACCACGTGACCGTGCGGGCCTATAATCGGGCGGGCACTGGGCCGGCCAGCCCCTCCAGCAACGCCACCACCATGAAGCCCCGTGAGTGTGTCACACTGGGGGAGCGGTGAGGTGCATGGGAAGGGGGTGCCTGCAGGACCACTTTCCCCCCAACAATAAGGCAAATGCTCCAGTCCTCAGCCCTGGGGACTGGGTTCCTCCACCCTTCCCGCTCTCGCCGGGCTACCTGGGCCCGTGGCGCAGTGTTCTGGCATAGCTGTGGTGGAGAGGGGCCGGGCGAGGGCGTGGTACCAGGCCGGCCAGCCTCTGCTCCTCCCGCAGCTCCACAGCGCCCTCCTGGCAACATCTCCTGGACCTTCTCGAGCTCCAGTCTTAGTATTAAGTGGGACCCTGTGGTTCCGCTCCGAAATGAGTCTGCAGTCACTGGCTATAAGGTGAGGAAGGGGCAGGCGGGCATTGGGGTGAGAGGCGGTGTCTGCATTTATGGTGAATACAAGGTTGATAGCGACATGGAGTCAAGTGAGCTGTCAGCGGCGGGCCTGGTGGTGAGAAGTGTGAGATACGTGGCTGGTCGTGAAGACTCTGAGGAGAGGAACAGAAAAGCAGGGCTCGTGGGTGGTGACGGAGGTGAAGCCCAGGGGTCCCTCCGGCCTGGGGAGTCTGCACAAGCTCTCTTGCTTTTGCAAGCTCCCTCCTGGCAATAAGGGGCTTGCTCAAGAGCCTGTTCCCAGGCGAGGGAGACGAACAGTGAGGAGACCAAGCCCGAGGGCTCAGAGCCTCCTGGGCCCCTCGGAGCACCTGCAGGAGGGCGAGAAGACAGGCCTGGCTGGCTGAGTAAACCCCAGCGGCCGCCCCCTGGCCCACAGATGCTGTACCAGAATGACCTGCACCCCGCGCCCACACTCCACCTCACCAGCAAGAACTGGATAGAGATCGCAGTTCCCGAAGACATCGGCCACGCCCTGGTGCAGATTCGGACCACGGGGCCTGGAGGGGACGGGATCCCAGCAGAAGTCCACATCGTGAGGAATGGAGGTGCTGCTTCTCCCCCATCTGACCCGCCTGGAGTGTCGGGGGCTGCCCTGGTGCCTGGTGGGAGAATCTTTCCCACCTGACCCAGCCAGAACCCCAGGGGGACAGGGAAGCAGGTGGGAACCAGGGCAAAATAGCTCTGGGCTGCGTGAGCTCCACTGCTTTACCCACACCCCAAAACCCTCAAGGGCTAGCGGGCTGAGTGTGTCCCTTTCAGGGGAGTCTGAGGACCAGCTAGTGTGCAGGTCCTACACAGAGCCGTGGGCGCAGGCGAGAACCCCTCCTGGGTGCCCAGGGAAGGGCCTCACACTGCCCTGAGAGGGCCGGCCAGCTGTTCCCGGCGCAGCTGACGAGGCCTCCTTCGGCCTGCTGGTTCCAGGCACGAGCATGATGGTGGAGAACTCGGCGGTCTGCCCAGCCCTGCACCCCGGCACCATCGTCTCCCACTCCGTGGCCATGCTGTTCCTCATAGGCTACCTAGAGCTCTGATCTCAGCGCCTCCCTCTCCAGCACAGCCGACTAAGCCTCCGACGGACGCAGCAGCCGGCCAGCCCCTTCCTGACACTAAGGAGCCCAGCACTGTGCCTGAGAACAGCTGGTTTTAAACCCCACTTTAGACGGTGTCCTCCATGGAAGGCGGGGCATTTCACACAGGACAGGGCCCCAAAGGGCTGCTTTTCTTTAAACCGAGAGACGCCAGGTAGAAACTGTCTGCTGACACTGACCCCCAGGCCTGGGTCCTCACGGTGCCCCGATGGAAGGGCCAGGCCTGTGGGAGGAAGGGGTTCTGAACAAATGTCTGCGTGTCGGCAGAGATGGCGCTCGGGACCACACGTGGACTCTGCTCCCAGAGAGCTGATGCCCCTGCCCGGGGGGAATGCTGGACACGGCCAGCTGGACGGGGACCCCATGGTCTGAGGAGATGGTCAAGCCCGGGACCGAGCACCCTCCTGCTTTCTCTGACGTTGCCCTGATGACTCCCTAGGGCCTGCCTCCTGCCACCTGGGAAGCAGGGCCTGGCGTCTGAGGCAGCAGCCGGAGCCCCTCAGCCTCGGGGGAGGCTACCCCAGACTGCTGGCGTCAGAGCTGAAGGCAGCTGCTCTCAGGTACCAGATGTGAGAGTGCAGGTGACGTGCCCTCTTAACCAACACTGCCAACCTGACCCAGCGCCCCAGAGTGAGAGCCGTGACAGGTGACCGGGTGACTAAAGGGCTTGTCTTGGAGAGGTCCCCACCCCGCCAAGACCATCCTGCACAGCCCCTGCGGGCGTGTGCCTTCCTCTCCTCCAGCTCAGCCTGCAGGCCCAGGGCCTCACTGGGCTGGCACCGACTCACACAGGCCTGGCAGCATTAGTTCCGGGGCTCCAGGGGGGGCATCTTTTGAGAAGGGCAAAGGGGAAGTGGTGTCCCCCCACAAGAACCCCCCCGTGACACCCTGGTGTGGCCCAGGCCCCAGGCTGCCCTGGACTGTGCTTGCCTTTCCCCGGAAGAGAAGGGGTCAATAAATGGGACATCCTCTCTGGTGCTCTGGTGTATCACCAGTCGCAGGACAGAGCTGGGAGAGGTTCCGGAGCTCGGCCTGCCCACGTCCCTACCTGACAGATGAGGAAACAGAAGGAAGGGGTCGGGGGCCACAGCCTGTGGGCAGCGGCTGTGGGGAGACCTTGAGTCTCCTCCGCCTTCCTGGCCGGGGCTCTGTCTCTCCAGAGGAAGAGGGCAATGCCGAAGGCGGTTAAGGACAGTGCGGTATGAAAATTCTGAGGTTCAGGTGAGTGATCGTGGGGTGACAGGCTTGGCTGGGTCCCAGCCCAAGACCCGGTGGACGCCAGGAGCCATCGGGTCCTTTCCTCTGGCCGTGGCCTCACTGGGCAGTGCTGGCTTGACCCTCTCGCTCCTTCATCCTTGCTCCGAGATGCCGAAGCAAGGACAGAGTCCCCAACTCCAGGCAGTGGCTGACCACAGGCGGGAGCTCCCCCACCCCGCCCCCCGGCCTCACAGGTGGCCCATCGGGAGCAGCAGCGCAAGCATCTTGCAGGACAGGCCCGAGGCCCCGAGCCTGTTTCTGTCGTTTACAGTTAGATCTCTATTTTGTTATGTTTTTTAGAACGTTAAGTCCTGCTCTGTTTTCCTGGGCAGGTTTACGTTGATGTTTGCCCACCAGAATTTTTTTAAATGTAGGTTCACACCCCTTTAAAGCCTCCAAGCTACGGTCGTACCCCCTGCCCCCAGTCAGGACTGCTTCTCTGGAACCCACTGATCAGACCTCACCTGCCCTGCTCACCCCCACCAGGGGGGCTGGGGTCCCCAAACTCGGCCTCATAGCCATGCGCACCCCCATGGTATGTGGCTGTGGTTTGGCCTGTGTTGAACACCAGAAGCCTCCCGAGGCCCATCCAGCTCTTTCCTCACTGCCTTAAGCTGCCTGGAAGAGGGGGCGGGGCTGGGGACGCTGGGCCAAGCAGGGTGAGCCAGCTTGGCACTGGCCCTCCTGGTGCAGCTGGAGGCCACCGTCCCAGGTTTGCTTGCTGCAAAAAGTACAACTTGGACCCTTAGGTCTACTGAGGCCTACGAGAAGTGGGGAGGAAGGCGGGCCTGCTGAGAAACCCAGGTTTCAACCAGGAAAACCTAAGTGTCAGGCCGTGGAACTTGTCTGGGGGTATGGAACTGTACAACATGCTGTTTCTGCAGCCTGAGGCTTCGGGCCCAGCACAGGCTGAAGGTCACTAAGAGTCGGAGACACTGAAATGCAATCTTCCCACTGGGGCGGCTTGGGCAGGGGCAGGTAGGGACACAGAAGGCAAGATTAGGTAACTTGTCAGTCCTTTCCTGTCTGGGCCTCTGGCCTCCATCTTCTCTGCTCAGATGGGCCAGGGGAGATGAGACAGGGCTCACCATGGTGGTCGTGTCTGCGGTCCGGCTTCCTCGCACACACCAAGCCCCTGCCACGAGCAAGCAATCTGCAGGTTGGTGGCCAGGAAGTGCCTTGTGGACTAGAACTGGCCAGGCCGCAGACACTGCCTCAGCACCCGGGGAGACCAGCTCTCCATCCCCCACACACTTGGGCTCAACTTTGGGCCCCTGGGCCCTGGCCTTCATTGCTCTAACAGTCCCAGCATGCACTTCGCCCAGGTGGCATCTGGGCCCCATGAGACCAGGTGATTTACTTTCATTCAGGGTATCAAATGATACAGATGGTGCCAGGGAACAGGAAGCCATGGCTGAGGGGAAAGGGCCTTTTCCTTTTGCTGAACTAATAGGAGAGACTGGCATTTAGGCATAAGACAGACCACCTGCAGAGAGACCTTTGAGGGAATAAGAGGCTTTTTTAGGGAACTTTGAAGAATTTTGACAGCCATGGGCCTGGGGTCTAGGTTAGGTGAGGCATGGACAGGTGGGGAGGCGCTGTAAGTCTCCTTTCAGGGCTGAGGTTCTTAGACTCCAGCGGTGCTCTGCACAGGAAGTCTGGGCGTACCTCAACCAGCCAGAGCTGGTGCAAGTCCCTAAGGGGAAAGGCGCCCAGAGAGGCCTCATGGCCGTCCCAAGAGCCCTGGTCTTTGCTCCAGTCCAAGCCCGCATGCTGAGCCAACTTGCTTCCCAGTTACAGACCTCTCCTGCTGTCAGGGCTGGAAGCCCTCCAAGCGGCAGGGACAGCACAGGCTCACAACGGCCTGGGGGGCACAGGCTGCCCTGGGCTTTGTCGTGGGGCTGGAGGCGGCTACAGAGAGGCTGCAGGAGCAGTGTGAGGAATCCAGTAGGCGTTTTGCGGAGAGGTGCCTGGAAGCTGAGGGCGCCCGTGGACTGGAGTTTATGGTCACAGGCCCTGGGCAGGCAGGCCCGCAGAGGGAACTGAAGAGGGGGGATATGTGGACCTTATAGTTTTGTCCGGAGCCCCGGGTACCCTAGCGCCCTTAGAGGGGTGCACCCCGCCGTGGCCCCCAAACTCCTCCAAGTTACCTGTCCCCTCCAGGGTCTGCAGGGTGGGGCCTCATGAGACCACTGACTGGACTCGGTTTTGTTAGAAGGGAACCTCGCCTGCGGGCCTGTCTCTGTCTCGCTTGTATTGTATTGGGAGTTATGATAGTTATTTATGGACTCTGGTAGCAGGCAGTTCTGAAATAAAGATGGTTTCTCGATCTGCTGAGGCAGCCGGCACCAATGTGGGAGTTTTTATCCTCAGGCTGCGGCGCCCCTCCCTGGCCCACCTCTAACTGGGTACTTGCACCCTCACACGGCTGGGAGTAGTGTTTCTCTCAGCTACAGCACCATCTTCCTGGGGCAGAGATTGGGAGCCTGTAAGCAGCCTGGGCATTGAGCAAGCAGGCGCTACCCGAGGGGTGTGACCTCCCCGAAACAAGGGAGGTGACAGTGTGGCGTGAGGGTGCAGCTTCAAAGTCCCCTAGGGACGTCTCTCTAAGACAGAGTGACCTCCACAGTAAGAACACACTTCCACTCTCCACACAGAATCCGAATTCCTACTCAGATTTTCTAGCCACAACATTCTGGTGTATTCAACACGCATCAAACTTCCACTCTACCTGAGAGGGGCACAGCCCTCATGTGCTCCTGTTGCTGCAAAACAGGAGGGCTCCCCGCTGGCTGCCCCACAGCCTCTGACAGGGGAGACAGGCTTGAGGCCGCCACGGCCCGGTAGGGGCTGGGCAGCAGAAGGCAGGCTGGCGGTGATTCCTGACAGAGCAGCACATGCAGCAGTGTGACAACAGGCTCGGTGTTCACTCTGCAAGGGGGCTGGGAGGGGGCACTGTCCACTCTAGAACCCAAGTGTTGTCCAGCCTGCATCACCCTAGCCCTCCAGAGGCCAGTTATGTGCACATCCCTCAGTCACGGACACAGAGGGTAATGCAATCTAGAGCTGACAAAAGTGATCCCCACCTCGCCGGCTTGCAGTAATACAATGTTGGGTAAGCTGTTCAGCTTTTCTTGGGGGCTCAGTCTCCCCATCTTTGAAAGAGAAGTACGAGCTTTCTCAGCAACCTGTTTTATTCAATGTGTGTAATATATCTGTGATTTATGGTCTTCTAAAGAACCAACCACGCTACTCACTGCTTCAGCCTATTGTCTGGTACTGAACTGACATGCTTTGCTATTAACACTCCCTGTGCCCAGTACTTGAGTTTGCAAACTGGCCGACAGGGGTCCATTTGTTCTTCACGATCACCTGTTTCAAAGACGAAGCCCACAGGAGCCAGTTAGCTTCCTCATTACACGACGGCAGAACCAGGACCCAGGTCTTTCGAAACCCACTATCTGCAAGGAAGTTAGAATGGAAGGAACGGTGTAGGGAAAGTTTAAGAGCCGTTCAAAAGAGCAACAGGAATAGGGACTTGCTTTGCACATGTCTAGGTCACCTTAGCTAAAGGCCAGAATCACCTATAAAACTTCAGATAAACAAAAATGCTTTCAGCTCCTGACATGCGGACCTGGGACACCCCAAGGTCCTGGGAGCCGTGATGCCCCAGCAGCAATGAGCTCCTCTGGTGCCCAGCCCTTGGTTTTGAAATTTTACTCCCCACACCAAAAGGGACCAGAGCTCCTTGGACACACAGCAAGGACAGATTTGGGGCAATAAAGGCCATGTGCAGGTCTGAGAGTTCTTGCCTACTAGAAAGGAAGAACAAGCCCAAAGCCGATCGGACCACGTGAAAAGAACAGCTGGCATTAAGGAACCCCTACTGGGCAAAATCAGGGATAGCTTGAACACCCCAAAAATAACAGCAATGGACTATATATAGCTCACCAAACAGAAATTCGAGACCTCAAAGAAGAAGAAAGGGCAAGCTCTTCTTTACAGAAAAACACAAGCTAATACAGAAATGATGAATTTAAAGAACTGCCATCTTGCAAATCCCCAACATGCAATGAGAAGTGATCATGCGTGGAAGCCAAAGTATTGGTGGTTCTTCGAAAACCAGATGACTGCCGAGTAATGCCCCACAGATTAGTACAAAGGGAAAAAATACACATAGCTTTAGAGTGATCTGGTGGCTACCACATCCACCAAATGACCAACGGTAGCAGGTCAAAGGGTCAATAAGGACAGATCATCCTTCATGCAGGGCTTTTGCAAAATGTTTAAGATCCATTGCTCTGAGATCTACTCATGAGGAAATGACAAAAGCAGATCATGGGATACCATCCAAGACAACTGGCCTAGCCAGACTCTTCAATATAAACAGTGTCATTAAAAACTCCAAAAACGCAAGGGAGCTGTTGTAAAACAAGACTCCCCAAGTAACCAAACATGCGATCCCAGATCAAAAATTAAATCTAGGGCTTCACTAATGGTGCAGAGGTCCAGTCTCAGCACTATGAAGCTGTCTGCAGCCACTGCAGCCAAGTTCGATTGATCCTGCACCAGAGAGGTGACCCACAGGGCGCGGCAGACCTCTTCGATCTCAACTCTGCAGTCTAATTTTAGTCAATCCGCCTCTTCTGCTCCCCACTCTGTCTCTGGTGAATCCTTTCACTACCACCCAAACCTCTGACCTGCACCCTAGTTCTTTTATGCATAAATAAATAAAAATCTAATCTAAAAGCTGTTAAGCGTTTAGAAACTGGGGAAAATGAAGTAGAACTATATATGTAATATTAGGGAATTGTTATCTTAGATGCACAATATTGTGGTCACACCGAATGAAGATTGTCCTCTCTCTCTCTCTTTTTTTTTTAAAAGATTTATTTATTTATGCACACAGAATTGGGGTTCAGGCCTGAGGTGCAGAGGTGGTGAGAGGATTCACCAGAGACAGAGTAGGGAACAGGACAGGCAGAGTGATGAAGTACACTGCTAGGGGAGTAGCTAGCGGGTTGAGAGAGGTCTGTCTGCCGCACCTTGTAGGTCACCTCCAGGGTCAAGGACGGAACTTGCACTGAGGTGGCTGCAGCTAGCTTGCAGTGCTGTGTCCTGTTGTGCCACCAGGGAGGGCCCTGAAGAATGTCCTTTTTCAAAGACGCGTTTAGGATTTAGCAGCATTCATTTATAGGAGTTACATATATGTAAATCAAAGGTGACAACTTTTCAAGTAATTCAGTAAAACTAGTACATCTTTAGGGGAAAAGTGTAGTGAATGTTCATAACTGGCACATGCGGGTAGCAGGTGTCTCTGCATGAATCTTTTTACTGGGAAAAAAGGTAGGAGAGGAAATAATAGAGCTCCTTAGGTCTCTACTTAAATTCAATTAGCATCTTAACTGTTGGGATTCAAGAATCTTACTTTTAAAAAAAGTTCCTCGAAACAAAGAAGATACAATGGAGCAAAGAAAGTTTGTTCAGCAAATAGTGCTGGGAAAACTGGGAAATTACTTGCAAAAAAATGAAACTAGATCACTACCTCACACCATACACAAAAATCAATTCAAAGTGGATTAAAGACCTAGACATAATAACAGAAACCATAAAATGCCTGGAAGCAAAGATGGGCCAAACACTGTATGACATATACTTCAGCGACATCATTAAAGATAGAACACCCAATGCAACTACAGTGTAGGCAAGGATAAATAGATGGGACCACATCAAATTAAATAGTTTCCGTATAGCAAAAGAGACATTACAAAAGACAGACAGCCCACTGAGTGGGAAAAAATTTTCTCACACAAAACTAGTGATAAAGGATTGATCACAAAGATATACAAAGAACTGATGAAACTTGACAAAAAGAAAAAAAAACATCAAAAAATGGACAGAAGATCTAAAAAGTCACTTCTGCAAGGAGAAAATGCAGATTGGCCAACAAGCATATGAAAAAATGTTCAACATCACTTGTAATAAGGGAGATGCAGATTAAAACCACAATGAGATACCAGTGAGAATGGCACATCTTCAAACAAGTAGCAACAACAAATGTTGGCAAGGATGTAGAGAAAAAGAAACTCCCCTGCACTGCTGATGGGAATGCAAACTAGTACAACCACTATCGAAAACTGTTTGGAGGTTCCTCAAACCGCTAAACATGGAGCTTCCCTTTGACCCAGCAATCCCACTCCTAGGTATCTACCCAAAAGACACAAAAACACTGATTCAAAAAGACACCTGCACCCCCATGTTTACTGCTGCTTTATTTACAATTGGAAAGACATGGAAACAGCCCAAATGCCCAAAAGTGAATGAATGACTGGATTAAAAAGATGTTGTACATATACACAATGGAATATTACTCAGCAACCAAAGAAAAAGAAACACATGACTTCCTCAGCAACATGGATGGAGCTGGAAAAGATCATGCTTAGTGAAATAAGCCAGAAAGAAAAGGAAAAATACCAAATGGTTTCACTCATAGCGGGGGTATAACAGACCAGGCAAGAAAATAATAATGAACAGTTACATACCAGAGACAATTTATGGGGGTGGAGTGGGGAATAGGATCAAAAACAGAGGGGGGAGGAAAATGCACTGGACTTTGGTGATGGCACACGGGTGATTTGGTGATAGGAAGCCCAAGGGGATTACAACTAAGATGGAAAAATACACAAAATGATGTAAAAATAAACTATTATAAAGTGATTCTAATGGACTGAATCACTCACTCCTCCAAGTTATTGGTTTCTGCTGCCTTCTCCGTGACTAGAGAAGGTGTCAAAATGTTGTGATTCTCTCAAGTGAAATTAGCTCAGCTGGTGGGCCAAGAGCCCTTTGCTGATGGTTCTTCCTAGACAATTTCCTCAGACACAGTCTGAGTGGCCACTGAGGAACTTCCAGTTGGATTTGCTAGGAGGAAGGAAGGCGTCAGCGGTCCCCTTAGGGAAGCCCTGGCTGCTACCAGAAACCAAGACACTTGACCTTTCCTGGAATGCAAATTTCAGGGCACTGAAAGCTGAAAAATTAGAAGCGGAAAGCAAGCCAAGGAACTGTCCAGGGAAAACTAGCAGGCAGAGTACAGTGTTTCGGCAGGAATTGTTTACCACTAAACACAGAGTTTCTTTGGAGTGTGTGGGCAAGGTTGAGGGGGAAACTTTGTGAACTTTTAGAGACTATTACACACCTGAGTCAGATGTCATTACTAAACACCTAGGTCTGGAGCCCTCTAAAAAAAAGTAGCTTAAGAATTTTTTTTTTTTTTTTGCCTAGAGTGGGAGGTATAGGCCAGAGGAGTGGAGGGGGTGGGGGGAGATCCAACAGAGACTGAGGAGCAGAACAGTCAGATCTACTGGAATCCACCGCTGAGAGGAGCAGCAAGGAGACAGGTCTGCTCTGCCATGTGGGTCAGCTCCCTGGCTGGGGATTGAACTCAGGCTGTAGCGGTGACAGTGCTGACACCCCCCCTCCCTCCCCCAGGCCACCAGGGAGGTCCGTAGCCTAAGATATTTAAAGAAAATAAAAATCAGATAATTTATGAGACAATGTAAAGAAAAACAGGGCATTTTAAAGAACAGTAAAGGACAGGTCCCTATACAGCTACTGTAATTAATTTTGATGAGGAAAAAAGTTTTTTACTATGAGTTTATTGATCTTTCTACATAACTATATTCCTCAGACGGGAAATGGAGATGGGGAGACGAGCTGTAAATGGATGCCCGCTGGGAAGACCACATTTTCCAGAAGCAGAACAGATGACTCATCAGGCTTCCTCAGCACCCAGTGGGCAGGGACCATCAGGCTGAGACACCCACTCCCCCACATCGCCCTCCCCGCTGCCCCCACTCCCTGGCAGTGAGAGTCCTTCCTCTTCGCCAATTCAGTCAGGCAGCCAAATGCTCTGCTGAAGACCTAGTGTGGCTTCTTGCGCCGCCCCCGCCGCCGATGATGATGATGATGATGCTGCTGCTGCTGCTGTCGCCGCCGCCGCCGGCGCTTCCGGTGCACGGCTCGTGAGGCCGACTTCCGGGTCTTGGCTCTGAAAAGCATCCCCAGCCTGCTGCAGAGAAAAATACTCATCAGCATCCCCACCAAACCAGCAGTAACTCCTATGGCCACGATGACTGTCATCTTCTTTTTCCATTGATGGTGCAAGGGTAAAGAACCATTGTCTAGGTCCACTTCCAGGCCCTCATCCATTAACTTCTGTCCCTCAGTGAGTGAGTGGAGGAAATTCAGTTTCACCAAGTGGGAAGGAAGGACTCTGAGCCCAAAATAGAGCCTCTTGACAAGTTTCATGTTTCTCAACAGGTACATGTCACACCGGTAGGTCCCAGAGTCATGCTCCCGAACAGATATAAACTTCAAGGAGTGGTGACGAAATAGGAAGGGTCTGAAGAGCCCATCATCAACTGAGATGATGCCCCGCGCTACTCTCCAAGTGAACTGGAAAGAGGCGTGAGTAAGCCCCAGGACTTGTGATCCCATGCAGTTCAACACAAATGTCCTCCCTGTGTGAACAGTGAAGTGGTGCATTCCACAGTGCCAGGTGGTGAGACAATGCCGGATCGCAGCACGGCACTTCCTCCTCACTCCATCAGGCCCCACCTCACAGACAGTATCCTCCTTAGAGCCGAGGCCACAAGTGATGCTGCAGGGTGTGGTGTGGATAACAACTTCCCCCACAACTTCTTTCATTTCCTTAGGGATGGCCAACGTTTTAGGGGTAGTCACTCCCGAAGACAAACAGGAGGCCAACATCAGGTTCCCAAGGGTGATACTGACAGCCAAAGATATCATGTTTTGCCACCTCGGCCAAGGCCTCAAGGTGTTCTAGACGAATCCTCAAAGGTCAATATTCAGCAACTTCAACCCGAGATATGCTCCAAAGTCCGAAGACAGGACACACGCAATGTCAACAATGCAACTTGAGAAGCGGAAGTCCGGTTTTTTTAACACATGAGGTATAAGGCCATCCCGATATTGGTGCTTCATGATCTCCGCTTGTTAATGACCACCTTATCTGCCTTCATTCTGCTCACTTCCTTTGAATGAAAAGACTTTGGAATTGAGTGTCCAAATTCCCTCAGGTGTACAGAGAAGCTATGCTCTCCCCCACCCTTTCTCCTCACCTCCAAATCATGGGATTACAAGTTTTAAAACCCCAGTTAAATTTGACCCTAAACTACTAAAAAAAGAGAGGATTAACTTGAATTAGGTTATTCACTGTAAAGACTCCAAAACCATCTATGAAGAGGATTAACAACTCTGGCTTGGGATGCATGTGACTTCGCCTTCCTGAATGCCAATTAGTGCCTTTGTAGTCAAAGATCTGCTTGCCAATTTCAGGAAGGTCACTCTGAGCATATGATGATAACCTACACACGAAAACACTCTGAAACGTGTGAAACACTGTTCCTATATAAGGAATATCAAATAGGAATTAAAATTCACGAACACAAGTGTCAAGAGCTCCCCTAGAACCCAAGTGTTTATCAAGTTGGGATGATAATGGTAGGCGCAGCTCTTTTCCCCTCCTAGCCACTGTCCCTTCCCAAGGGTTTGAAGGGTCATTTCTGGGAGACAAATGTCCTCCCCCCGCTCCCAACCCACTCCCCTCACCCGAGAGAGGGGAAGCACTCACTGTTCACCTGGGTCTATCTAGGTTGCTATGAGACATTTGTGATGTCAAAGGTAGATTCTTAACCACATACCAGATAAGCTGAATAATTAGACACTCAGGTTAGAGTGGCAATGATTAGAATAAAAAACGCAGAAACTTTATGGAATGTCCTTTGGTACACAATGAGTATTCAGCGGACTTGAAAGCTCATAGAGGCTTTCAAGTGTACGCGGACCTTCAGGATGAACCCTGGAGGCAAGAGTCTCCTCACAAGTACTTCCCTAACTTCGGAGAGCCCCCTCACACCACGACCTCTACAGAATCATTGCTCACACTTGGATTCCTTTAACACCTGCTTCTTGAATCTTTGATTCGCAGTATTGTCTAGATGCGAACTACAGACCGCCAGGCCACCCCAACCCCCCCCCCCCCCCCGACTCTGTAACACCAACACAGGAGGCGGCATGTTCTACACAGAGCAACACGGCTGCTGAGTTTCAGGAGTCATTGTGTCCAAAGACAAAGACCTACACTTCTTTTTTAATAAACATCCGATTTTATTTACAAAGCATTAAAGCTTCAGCAAGAAGTACCCAAGGCTAAGTCTTATCTTGTACAAAACTACAGAACATTAAAAAACAAAATGGTGGTGGTGGGAGGGTGCTGACCACAGGGAGAAGAGGATATGCATATTGTACAAACTGAGAAATTCAAACTGAAATGGACAGGTTTGGGGCGCTGGAAAAAAAAAAATGTCCAAAGCATAAATAATTATCAAGAGCTGCTGTCAAAAGCAACCTGACATGGCTGAGCTTTGAGTCCTCAGCCGGCAGTTTAGGAGCTGGGCGCAGACTCAACCTCCAAACGTGCAGAGGACACCAAGCTATTTCACACATGGAAGTAAGGCATAGACTGTGGCCCAGCTTGCACACGCTGCCGTGCACAGTAGAGAAATGGAATGAAAATTACGTGTTCCGAACAAAAACGAGGCTCGCAGGCCACCTACCAAGCTCAACCACAGGTCTGATGCAAAGTATGAAATGAAATTCACAAAATGAACACTGGAGGAAAAAGCAGTGACATCTAGAATAACAGACTTTTTGTGACTGAGTCAACTACTGAGTATTTTGGTTCTCAAAGATGGAGCGGGAGAAGGGGCCTTACTGAGATAACCTTCGATTTCCACCCTAACATCCACATGGTAGCCGGTGTGTCCGGCGACGTGTGGCAAACCCCAGCTGAGGCAGCTTCACCACAGCTCGATCCTGAAGTGCTCTGGGGAGAGCGACGGCCGCAAGCACTTCTGGTTAGCCCAGGGAGGACCGAGTGCTCCTCCCACCTGGTGTCTTAATTCTGGATTTTCAGAGAATTTCCAACGCCTAATGTACATATCCATCCAATTGGCTACTTTTTATAGAAAGAACAGTAAAAGCAAAAAGTAAAAATTTTTTAAAAGCTAAGCAACCTTTCACAGAAAGGAAGTGACTGGAACGCTAGGGGAAGAAGCACAGGGACAAGAAGGGCGATGTGAAGACTCATGTGATCCATGAGCATCGATACAATTTTTTTTCCTTGATCTTTGATTTGAAGTGTGTTGTTGCTGCTTTGATTTTAGACAGTTTTACTTCAGTCCTTGCATAGATTTCCCCCATCCCAATAAAAAAGAAGCTTGTTGAGAGACACCTTGGTTTGTTTCCATCTCTGGAAGTCAGCACAGGTGAAACAATAGAAACTACTGATGATTCTTTGCTGGAGACAAACTAGCTATCTTCAAAAACCATGATTAGTGAGAAGAACCAATACTAGAGGGAAGTAGGTGACAAAAGGAAACACGGACACGCCCTGAACCTCGTCAGTCCAGCTTCTTGTGCAAAATACAGTGTGTCAGGAAAAGGGGGCCTTTCAGATCTTTTTATCCTTTCTGAAAATTTGACATCTTTCAAGCACTTTCTTTTCTGCCCACCTTGGTACATAATATGGAAAAAGAGGAGGTCAGAGGGTAAGTTGGAAGAATATGCAAGAGAAGTTTTCCTAGGACACAGGTAGCAAGATTTCAGATAAGAACCAGCCACTCAAGGGCATGCACTGAAGATGGGAGGCAAACAGGAGACAGTGAGTGACAGGCTGAAATGATGCTGGATACAATCAAGTTTGACGAGAAAAAAGGGATCTTTTCTCCAGCAATGTAACTAAGCATTAAAGTTTAAGTGAGTCAAAACTCCCATTTGATGTCTTCACAAATCCTCATTCCTGAGAGCCTATTTGGACTTATGCTTGAAAGGAAGGGCCGTATACTCTTCTTCCATAATTCACTTCTTCATTCAAACATAAAATTCACTCCTTCCACCTCCTGGGCGGGAGGCAGAGGCCTTTGTTTTAAATTAAAGTCAATCTCAAATGACTGACCACAGTGTCCAGAGGCCACGTGATGGCAACGCAGGGGAGAATGAAGAGACTTCGAAGGTCTTCATAACAGTTCTGAGATCGCTCCCCCTGCTAAGAGAGATCAGAAACAAAAACATTTCTTTTAGCATCAAGTTAGACCAGTCACTCACAAGAACAAAAACGCTGACAGATGCGGATGACGCATCAGCTACGCACAGCCGTGAGAGCCCCGCCTTTACCTATGATCAACTCCCAACTCCCAATTACTCTTCACTGAAGAAACAACCCAAACCCCCACCCCAAGAGCGTCTGGTCCTGCCCCAAAGGGAGGAAGGGCAGGTGCAAAGTAATCAGAGTTCCCCACATTTTCTAGGCTGCTAACCATTCTTGAAGGCCCAATAAATAAGAATTTATAATCCAAAAAATGTGTTATATAAAGGAAACTCTAGGGTTCTACATCTTTTAAGCTTTCATCTATTTCGCTAATTCAGTCACTAAATGTTTAACAGTGAGCAGCAAACCCTTTTCCAGCACTTAATATACATATCCATCCAATTGGCTACTTTTTACAGAAAGAACAGTAAAAGCAAAAAGTAAAAATTTTTTGAAAGCTAAGCAACCTTTCACAGAAAGGAAGTAACAGAAAGGAAGAATCCCAGATAAGATGAAATGTTAATGAAAACTACTGTCTGCATTTCAAAGTGCTTAACTGGTCAATAAACAAAATCCTAAATAGTGAAATCAAATGAACACTTCCCTGATTATTCCACAGAAGCTGTTCAGCCTCTGAGGGACATCCTTAACTAGCAAGCAAGTGTAAAAAGAGAGCGTAGAAAGACAACAGGGTGAAGAAAACCCTTTCGGGGACCACGTGGGAGGGAGAGCACATGCCGCTTGGAGAGAAAATGGTTTAAAAATGATTGCCCATAAGCTAAGCCGTTTTCACTGTGAGTTCGATCCCAGCCCTGGAGGTGAGCCACATAGCACAGCAAAAAAAAAAAAAAAAAAAAAAAAAAAGATTGCCCAAGTTAGAAAAGTGGCCATTTACAAACTTTGCTTTTAACCTGATTTATAAAGTGAAAACAAAGTCACAGCTGCAAACTGGCAATAAAAAGACACTGTCATTTGCCCAAAGTGGCTGAGTTCACGAGACACACACACTCCTGGATGCCACAAGGTCGAAAGCCCAGGTTAAACCTCCCCACGTCCAGCAAGGTAGAGCAGTCAGCATGTTTTTCAGATCTCTCTCAACATAAACACCGTAATGACTCCTGAGCTGATTTTGTTTTTAAATCCTGAGAAAGAAAAATCTACTGCAAGGGGCTCAACACCTTGCAGTCCATACTTTAGCTACTTCCTGATTGTTCTCTGTGGGAAGTTTTTAACCATTTAAAAATGAATATACCGTTAGCATTTTAAAGTCAATATCATGAGTGCAAGGTGCTTTCATCATAGGTCAGTGGCATTAATAATGGGCATTCAAGGTGACTAGTAAATCACAATAAGCTGACTGGCTGAGGTCAGCTGGGATTTTTGTATCACATCTCATTCATGTGGATAGGCCAAAAAAAAAAAAAAAAAAATCAGCTGTGAGGTACCAGGCAACAAACCAACACCATGAACAGGATAAGATCCACAACCACACACAGGGGGAGCCCTCCAGGAGATTTAAAAATCTGCCCCAAAGATTTTTTTGCTGCAGCATAAAGAAAACTTCCAGTAATATAACATTAAGAAAATGCCCATCTGGGCTTCCCTGGTGGTACAAGGGGTTAAGTCTCAGCACCATGAAGCAATCAGCAGCCACAGCAGCCTGAGTTCAATCCCCCGCCAGGGAGCTGACCCATAGGGCAAAGCAGACCTCTCCTGTCTCCCTGCTGCTCCCCTCAGCAGTGTACTTCAGTAGACCCACCTGTTCTGCTCCCCACTCTGTCTCTGGTGAATTTTCTCACCTCTCCACACCTCTAGCCTGTACCCAGCTCTTGTACACATAAATACATAAAATAAATCTTAAAAAAAGAAAAGAAAAGAAAATGTGTCTCTCCCAGTAACAGCCCAAGCCAGGGTTTCTCAGCCCAGGGCTAAGAAAATACTGAATGTTGATTTTCTAGAATGACCTCAGTCAGCTAGTTAAGATCACACAGAATGAAAAAGAATATACATCAGCCAAGTGACTTAGCAGGAATTCAGGAATTATTCTTTGAAAGACTGACTGCTAAGAAAGAAGACGTGTGTGTGCTTCCACAACCAAGCACTTAGAACACTCAGATCCGGCGAGCACGTGAAGACGAGGGGTGCGTCGGACAAGGGAAGGCTGTGCACGCCCAGGACCGGCGTCTGCCTGCTTTGGCCTTTGCCATCCCCACAGACCCAGGTGCCCAACAACCCCCTCAAGTAGGTGAGAGGCCCCGGCTCTGCCACACTGGCTACTGGTGTTCACTGCCAAAGATCCCACTCCGGGGTAATCCTCAAACAATCACAGGGCGACCAGGGCGTGGGTGGTTTCGCTGTTCTCTCAGTTTCCGGCCGCAGACGGCCTTTGGAGAGAGCCTGATACCCAGGCAGCAGAAGGGCACTGCTAGATAGTGCTGACTGTGCCGACCTGAAAAGCCTGAAGCTCAGCGTTACCCTCACCAGGCTGCACTGATGAGGGAGCGAGCCCACAGAAAGTGGGAGAGAGCCCGCTGGTGCTGCTCAGTACCGATAAGCCCTTGGACAGGGGACAGTGTCGCGTCGCTGCAGATCCCAGGTGATCAGATTATTTCTATAAAGGTCTATGCCTCTTCCAATCTCCCCCTGAAATAGTGTGTCCCACTGCATCGTGCGACAGACTTTAACAGCTCTGTCAGGACTGATCCTGGGATATTAAACAGTTTTTTAGTAAGCAGTCAACCGCAGGTATTAACAACCGCTGTACCTAACGTAAGCAGTAACACGGCCAACACCTATAATCCCACCTTCATATAATCTGCATCTAATGCAGAAGTCTGGAGGTTGGGGGGCCGGGGGGTGGATAGGCGGGAACAGGAGTTTCACAAAGCCTTGAGGAGAAACTACAACCCTCACTGAACTGAATTCACTGAACTGAATTCAGAAGGTGGCTCAGCCTCCAGATCAGGATCTATTTCTCAGCTTCGACCACAATGGCAGGCTGCTTTTTCTTGAAAATCCCCAAGGTGTGGAAGAACATAAGATGCAAATTCCAGCAGAGAAGCCAGCTTGCCTCTGCACGCTCTAGGCCCACCTAGCCCACCGCGGTGATGAGAGGAGCCCAACCTCAGCAGAGTCCCACACAAAAGGCGCAGGCTGTCCTGAAACTGACACTTCTGCTGGGCATTATCGGTGATGCCCGACTTTACGGCCACAAAGAGCACCCACTGCAGCTCGTTGACAAAGCTGACACAGCCCTTCTGAGAAGTTCTGGAAACAAGCCCTAAGGCCTCACTGAGGATTATTGGTGGTCCTGCTCTTCGACACACTCTGAAGTTTAATGTGTCAGTTCAGCTTTGGAAGTTTCCACTGAGGAAAAAGGCCAAGGAATCAAGGCCAAAGAGGAAAGGGGGAAGGAAGAGGTACAGGCTGTATGGGGGTGCAACACAGGCAACAGTGAGGGTTTGGCTTGCAGGGATCTCTGCAGCTTTCTGGCTGTACATTGTCAGAAAATGTATCACCTTCTTCCTGTTATGTGAAAGTTTCCTCTAATTCATTTAAAGGGTAGAACTGTTTTTTTTTTTAAAGATTTATTTATGCATACAGAACTGGGGTACAGGCCAGAGATGTGGATGGTGAGAGGCTTCACCAGAGACAGAGCGGGGAACAGAGCAGGCAAATCAACGAAGTACACTGCTGAGGGGAGCAGCGGGCGGGTCAGGAGAGGTCTGCCACGCCATGTGGTCACCTCCGGGGCAGGCGGGGATTGAACTCATGCGGAAGTGGCTTTAAGCTTCTCAGTGCTGTGCTTTAGCCCCCTGCGCCACCAGGGAGGGCCCGGTAGAACTGTTTTTTAAAATAGTTGCTTGTAAGGTGCACCAGTTCAAGTGCCTAGTAAAAATAGTAATAAAAGCCTGTCTTAAAGCACCCGGCTACTTCAAAACACGAATTCTAACTTTTTGTTTTTTTAAAAAGATGTATTCGTGCCAACAAAGATCAGGTCAGCGATGGGGTATAAGCTGTGGGGGGTGAGAGGATTTACCGGAGACAGAGTGGGGAACAGACAAGACAGAAACACACTGCTGAGGGGAGCAGTGGGTGAGACAGGAGAGGTCTGCTGCGCCCTGGGTCAGCTTCTTGCTGGGGATCGAACTAGTGGTGCCATGGCTGCGGACAGCTTCACTTAACAGTGGTGAGACTTAACCCCTTGTACCACAGGGACACCCCCAAATTCTAGCTTTTAGGAAGGCCAGTACCTGGCCCATAAAGGAAGTGGGAATAAACTAACAGCACTTGATAAGCATATTCAGCCACTCTTCCTGCAGGAACTCTGAAATGCCGGCATATACAAACACGAAGTAAAATATGTGCTCTACACAGAGCTCAACATTTCACTGCAAACAGTCTCAGTATCTTGAGAATATCATGGAGTAAACTCTCCAACACATTGACTTCGGCTCCCATTTAGACATTTTTGAAGCTTAACTCAGAAACACCACCCTGTTACCCTCTGAGGTGTGAAATCTAACAGTGCTTCATGGTGCCCTGGACAGAAACCCAATTTGGAAAATGTCAGCTATATTTAGTTTTGTTACTGTTAGTGACCACACCAACATAATTAAAAGGTGAGATCACTATTATTGACAGGAAAAATGAGAGTTTTAAAACCAGTAAATGGCTCCTTTATATACACTTACTATGGTAAAGCAGATGAATAACTGCAGACAGGTTGTAAAGACGCTGAGAGATGATGTCTTAGCGCCTATCAATGAATTCAGTCTGTTTCACCACATTTTAAATGACCCTGACATGTTGCAGTGCTTTGAGCCAGAAAACTGTTTCAACTTTAAATCGTGTTTCTTCTGTAGAGACATCAGCTTGAGCAAGAAGTGGGCGAGAGAAGGATCATTGCTGTTTTCAGACCATCGCTGACCTGATCTTTGTTGGCAAAGTCCATATAACTAGTTGAAGTTACTTAAAAGTACACAGAGACAACCTCAGGTGGCCTGAGTGTACTGCACTTCGGCGGAGCACCGTAAATGTCGTCAGTGTGGAACAATGAGGTAGGGAGTGAAGTCCCACAAACCTGAGGTAGAGGTCCCAAAACGAGGGGTGAGTGAGTCTGCTTAGCTTCTCTGTGTTAGAGAACTCACGTTCACAATAACTGAATTAAGGGCGTTAACTCAAGGATTCTGTTTAGCCTTCAGTCCACAGCAGTGCACTTGGATTAACACATTTAAATGACAATTTTAAAGTGAGTGTTAAAAAAAAACCTGAATAGAAACCTTGATATTTTATCAGTCCTCCCTGAGTCTACGCCTCATCATTGTGTTAACTAAAGCAGTGCTTACAATCACAACAAAGAATTTCCAAGACTCAAGAATAATTTAATAGAAATGAGCTAATCGGATACTATTTTCCAAACGAGAGACTAGGTAGCCGAGAGTCACAATTACGTGACAGGAAAATGAAACTTCTCTCCACCGCTCAGCAAAAAGCCCTGTACTACAGGTAAGTGAGAGATTTACTTTTGACAAACTCAGTATGTTTCAAAAGAATTAGGTGTTAATAATCTATCCAGACATACTCAGTAGTTTTCCCTCTTTGGTAATCTCCTTTTTGGAAGAACAAACACAGCATCCTCCTTCACACGATGGTTCAACTCACAGCCTCACTATCGATCCTGGACTAGAGGAGGGAGAAATATCACCTCTGGGCTTTGAACACTGCAGAGAAAGCCCTGAAGCTAAACTGTTCAAGGCCGCCTAAAGCAAACTGCTATCCCTGCTTATAAAGCTGGCGCTTCTGTTTGAAGCAAAAGAAAACCAATAACCTAGGAGCAAATGCAGATGAAGAAATGCATTCACTCAGGGGTTCTTGCCCCTTCGTGGGCCATGGATTCCTACAGAAATCTGATGAAGTCATGGTTATCTTCCCCACAAAAATATGCCCCCAAGACTGCATGTATCATCAGGAGAATGTAGATCCCTTGAAACCTATTAACAGGCCCTGAGTTTGGAGCCACAGAATTAAGCCAAATCTGGCTAAGTCTGCCTTTGATGGCAGCTTAAAAGGCAGATTATCTGCCACTGGGAAAAAGGGACGAAAAACCACTAGACGGAATGAGGAGCTGTACAAAGCAAGGCCACAAGCAAGCCAGAGCGCTCCCAGTGTCCTTACCTGTCAAGGGCTGGCTGAGTTCCGCCTGCACTTTACCCTTCGCTGATCCTTCCAGAGGTAAACCTCTGTCCCCTTTGTAGAGTTTCGGTTTAAATGGAGAATCTTTCTCTTTACCTTTTGATCCTTTAGGCCGGCCTGCTTGCTTCTTCTTGGATTTGCCATCCCCCTTCACACCCAGTAGTGGATGGACTTCTGCAAAAAGACAGACAGGGATGGAAAGGCGCCTACACAGGCAGTCCCGACGCCCGAGCGGACAGCACGCCACTGTCCAGGGGCAAAGAAGACTGCTCCTACACCCCAGGTCCACTAACGCAAGGGGGAAAGCCTGGGGCACTGTGCATTAAAAATTATAGAAGTGGGGGCCCTCCCTGGTGGCGCGACGGGTTAGGACGCAGCACTGCAAGCCGAAGCACAGTCACTTCAGTGTGAGTTCGATCCCCAGCCCTGGAGGTGACCCACATGGCCAGGCAGACCTCTCCTGACCCGCCCGCTGCTCCCCTCAGCAGTGTACTTCGTTGATCTCTGCCTATTCTGCTCCCCACTGCCTTTGGTGAATCCTCTCACTGACCCTGCACCTCTGGCCTGTACCCCAGTTCTGTATATATAAGTAAAATAAATCTTCAAAAAAAAAAAAATTACATAGAAGTGGCTACTGAATGTGAAATAGCTGCTGGGCCAAAGAGCACATGAGGCCAAGAGCTCACACCAAGTCACGGCAGCTGCAAATGGAAAAAGCAGCTGAAAGACCCCTGACCACTACCACACCAGGCAGAGGTGGCGCGCACACACACCGGCTGGCGAGAACAGAAAGGGCATGGGCTTTGCGATTAGGCGGATCAGGATTAGAACCCTGATTCTGTCACTTCCTGATACTCCAGGCAAGTGACATAATCTCTCAAATCCTCAGTTTAAGCAGGGATAGTAAAACCACTGGCAACACTGATGTTGAAAAGTTAACAATGGCCTATAAACCGTGCAGGGTGCCTGAAACAGAGCACACAATCAAAAGATCAAGGAAATGTGTGGCTGCATAACTGAGCTGTAATTTAGCTGAAAGAGAAAGGATATCCCAACAGTATACACACACACACACCTCCCGATGCTAAACACACAGGAGAACACACACACACCTCCCGATGCCAAAGACATGATACTAAATGCTACCAGAATCAGACTGTAAAAGTAGGTAGGAACAATAAAGATCATTCGGAGGACACTTCACCACCTTATAAAAGTGTTCCACAGGGGATAAAGCAGGAAAAGAATGTTGTTAAAACAAACTCTGAGGCAGATGTTGGAGGACTTATGTTACTTAAGTGAAGTAATGCCAGGCAGACCTCCCCCATTCATTTCAAAAGAGAAGTAGTAGGTTTACAAAGTTGCAAAGCACTACTTAAAAAGAAACAACTTATGGGAAATATTTTTTTAAGGTTTAAAGAAGTCACCCAAACAGGAAGTAGACAAAGCCGCAGAGCAAACAGGGGCACCCGGAGGGCGCAGAGCAGAGTGGGGCTCACCGTCATTGGGCACTCCTTGCAGTTCTATATTGGTTGTTTTGGGCTTCTTCTTGGGTGGCTGGGACCCATCTGCTGAAGACTGCCTCTTCTTTTCTGAACTAGCCCCTTCGTCCATCAGGGAGGTTTGAACTGCATCCGGCGGGGGGCCGTACGGATTTTCTTCTGGGTCTTCTACCTCAGGGGCAATGGGTAAATACAACAGAGCCTTTGAATCTTCCAGCTCTTCATCACTATTTGGAACAGGATCAGACAAGGGATTGAAAAAAAGAGGAGACAGTTGCTTAAACCATGAACCCTTCCTCTAGGGCAGAACCACCTATATTAACCGTAAGCAGCAGATGTGGTGGATGACTTTATGCAAGTCAAGAGGGGGGAAAAGTGCATCAGACAACACGATGAATGAAATCAGTAGTAAAATAAACAGTAAGAATGATTTCAGCTGCCGACTGTCTAGGGGAGGAGGGGTGGACTGCTGGAACGCTAAAGGAGGTACCCCTTTCACTCACAAGCAGATGGACTAAGGGAACAGTGGCGGGGTGAGCTGGATGACACAGACAGGAGGGGCTGGCTGGGGGCGGGACTGGGAGAGGCTGGGACGCAACAGCAGGGACCGAGGCGCAGCGACCAAGCCCTGCGCCCTGGAGGGCTCACCTGCTGCAGAAGGCAGCGATCGGGTCCACACTAGTGACATCCACTTCTTCATCCTCCGCAGCATCAGCCCCTGCAGGACAAATACCAAGGCATCAGACAACATGTAAATCTGCTCCTCACTAACAGTTTAAAGATTGCCACAAACTGAAACGAAGGAGGAAAATTAAACAGTTCATTTTATTAGGCATTCAAAAAAAACGTGCTAAATTCCCAACATGTGCCAGGTAATGAGAACAGAGCAATGGCCAAGAAAGTTGGGAGTGGTTCTTCAATAAAAGCTTCACAAACTGGGGAGAGAGATACAAACTGATCATTTCAATCCAGACAGGGAGCGCCACAGCAAGTGTGTGGGCAATGCGCTGGAAGCTGGGAGGAGGGTTGGCTTCTGTGGGCATGCGGGAAAGCGTCACACATGGTGACGTGTAATGCCAAAAGGGTCCAGAGTCGCCTGCACCCGATGGGCTTGCTACAACATAAAGGGCGTGTAAGCTGTCTGACAGTACAAAGTGAGGACCAGCGATTTCAAGATGGAGAGCATGACCCTCAGTCCATTCCCTGATTCCTGGCACCATCAAGGGGTCCAGAAGCCAATGGTCTGGCACTCTGTTCGCTGGCAGTGCCAACCAGGCGCACTAAGCAGCCACACACATGGACCCTATTGGGTTGAAGACTCTGTGTCAGGTATCAGAGGATTAAAAATTCAGAGCTTTATTGACAAGGAACTTCCTATATAGAGTTCAGAAGAAATAAAACCAAACATGATCATGTGTTTTCATGAATTATCTGTCCCCCATGCACCTAAGAGACAGATACTACTATTTCCCCTATGCTGCAGAAAATTCCGATTAAAGGCTAAGTGTTCTGCCAAAGGCACCTGACTCCAGAGCTCATGCACTTGACCTTCACCGTGATAGCAGCCGAACCTAGCATCTCTGGGGGACCTGCCCGTGCTGCACGATATCCTCACTGTATCACCTGCAATTAGTCAGCAAACAGAGTAAAATGCTAAAAGAGCTGCCCTTGTGATGCCAGGTAAGCCCTTGGTCGATGCTGTACAAAGAACGGTTCTCAAAACACTGCCAAACTGTATAAGTGTGAAGAAAAAAGTGACCCTTCAGACTGAGTGCAGAGGGAAATTTTCAACACAAGTTAAGAAAGATTCCTGAGTAAAGGGATCATTGTTCCTTTGGGAATCACTGTCTGCCATTGAGGTATATTACCTGTCTGCTCTGGCTCACTCTTATCTTCATCTTCAATATCAAATTCTGATTCTCTTTCCTCGTATTCTACATTTTCATCCAACTCTTTGAAGTCTGGGGCAAATGCACTCCAATTTTCCTACACCAAAACAGAACAAACTACTTACCCACATGAGAAAGCAACAGTCTATAATCTGACGTTAATGATATAAATGAAAGGTTTGAGGACGAAAACACTCAGAATCCTACAGCAAATTTGGCAGATAATAAAAATCAGCCACACACAGGTTTTACTCTCTTATTTCCCTTTTTTAACATTCCAAGTTATCAACTTTAATTTTTTCACCGATACTAAGGAAGATTCTATTTAGGGTATAAGGTAAAAAGGCAAATATTCAAGTAAGTATACTACAGATATAGTTAAAGGTACTTCAAAATGAAACCCAGTCATAAAACAGAAACTGAGCTCAAAGTAAGAAAATCTCAGATAAGAAACAAAAAATTAACAGAAAGTTCAGAAGAATTTCTCCCTCAAAACAGCAAATCAGCTTTGCACCAAGACCTCCCCATCAAAATAGAGCAGAGCCAAATGTAGAACTAAATGCACCTGTTTACTTAAGTTACACGCATGACATTTAAAAGAAAAATAGCTTGCTTACTATCTATAAAGTTCTTGAATAAAAATAAAGAGTATTTCATTCAATGCAATTAAACCAGAAAAATACTTACTACTTGATTTTGTGCCCAGATGGACACCACTCCACTAGAAATGGACGCTATGATGGGCCGGACAGGATGCCACTGAATTTTAACAAAGGAAAGAAAAATCAGTTCTGAGAATGGACCCAAGATTTTCTGTCTCGCCAAGTACCGACAGCAGCTTCCCGCTCTACTCACAGCCACATCCAGAAGGAGCTCCCCCCTGGTTCCGTGCAGAATCTTCACCAGGTTGCCGATGCTCTTCTCCCAGATGTACAGCGCGTGCTGCCGGGCCGAGCCTGCCACTATGTACTCCCCGTCCCCAGAGAAACAGCATTTCTTCCACGGGGTCCTAAGGGACAAAGAGAGTGCCCAAGGAGAGCGTGAACCTGAGCCAGCGCAGGAATTCTCATCTGTTATTCGAGGCTGGGACACATACCTATTTACCAAGTCTTGCAATTTTTGCATAGGTTCTGGCTCTCCGTCTCTACCACACGTTAAGATTTCTCTGCCGTCATACACTCTGATTATTCGATCCGCTGTGTTAATTAAAAAGCAACTACAGAAAAGATAAAAATATCGACATCAGAGGTCAAACCCTGCTCCCATTAACATTTTATATCACTTATCACTTGCTGAGAATAGAACCTAATAGATGGGAAAGGCTGAGTGTAATTCTCAGTAGTACCTTAGAATACTGACGAACCTACTAGACACCTCTCAGACTAAAATATAACCGCAAGTAGGAATATGATTTACACTTCCTGTGGCCTCCTGTGCCCTTTTCTCACAGACTTATCAGTAATTGATGAGATCTATGGTCTCTGCATTGAAACCAGCATGCTCAATTCACTAATCAGTTAAATATATATAAAGACTGAATCTCTCTGGCCTGTTGAGCTTACAGTATCATTTGAAAATGTTCAACTTTTCATTAGTAACATTAGAAGATGTTGAAAATACATTAATTTACCACCTTCTTACAGATGTCACTGTGTAATTACATCTTAATTCAAGAAAATTTTGAACACGCATGTATGTCCTCCAAGTATTTGTGTGAGTTCCTATACAAAAATAGGATAAATGTTACCTCTCTTACTGACTACCTATTTTTATTACGGTTGATAGTTCTACTTCTCACTGGATAGCCAAATTTAAAAGAAAAATATCTCAAAATAAACGGGTACGTAGGTTTTATGTGAGTGAAGTGTATTTTCAGCTACTATGTGAATCCTATGTTACTTCTGACTATAACACTAGCGCATCTTCACCCAGAGCCGACCACACCTGGCAGCCTGGTCCTATGCTCAGGCCTCAAATATCTTCAAGGTAAAGGACCTGCCTGTCAGTCACCACATGAAGAGGTCACGGCTGGTGCGATGCAATACATTTTATGAAGTTTAGAACCAGAGAATGAGAATATCTAGTAACTTTAAGGAAACTTTTAAAAATAAGTAAAATATATACAAAAACTTATTGCATGCATTTGCTTTCTACTCACTTTTAAAGCCACGCCTAAAAACAGACATGTGCTTCACTCACCTTCCCTTACGGGCAAACTCTATTGACTTAATGGCCGTGGTATTGCTTGTTCCAGTTGTTACTCTGAAGGAAGCAACAAGATCCTGAGAATCTGTTTTTAGGACCAAAATCTAAAGTTTAAAGGAGGGGAAAAATGTAAGTATTCTGGAAACTTACAGTAATTAGATCTGGTTTTCTGTTTCTAAAACTGGGCAGACTATAAAAAACATGAACCTAATTAAATGGTATTGCCTTTTACCTCTTCAAATAAAGAACTATGCCTTCATCTGTTTTTAAAATATAATGTTTAGCATCATTCACAACTGTTGAACTATGCCTTCATCTGTTTTTTAAAATATAATGTTTAGCCATGGAGCTTCCCTACGACCCAGCAATCCCACTCCTAGGTATCTACCCAAAAGACACAAAAACACTGATTGAAAAAGATACTTGTACCCCCATGTTTATTGCTGCTTTATTTACAATTGGAAAAATATGGAAGCAGCCCAAATGCCCAAAAGTAGATGACTGGATTAGAAAGATGTGGTACATATATACAATGGAATATTACTCAGCAACCAAAAAGAGAAACACATGTCTTTTACAGCAACTTGGATGGAGCTGGAAAAGATCATGCTTAGTGAGATAAGCCAGAAAGAGAAAGAAAAATACCGGATGGTGTCACTCATAGCAGGAGTATAATGGACCAGGCAAGAAAATAACAAAAATAATGAACAACCATAGACCAGAGACATTCTGTGGGGGTGGAGTGGGGAATGGGATCAAAAACAGGGGGGGGAGGGAGGGGAAGGGAGGGAAATGCATGGGACTATGGTGGTGGCACAGGGGTGATTTGGTGATGGGAAACCCGTGGGGATTACAATTGAGATGAAAAAAAAAATGTACAAAATGATGTAAAAATAAACTTTTTAATAAAAAAATATATATATAATGTTTAGCATCATTCACAACTGTTGAATAGTGGCAGCAACCCCAACAGATAAATAATGAAACAAAATGTGATGTATACATACAGTGGAATATTATTCAGCCTTGAAAAGGAGATTCTGGCACATGCTACAACATCAATAATCTTGTGGACATTACAATAAGTAAAATAAATCAATCACATTCACACCAACAAATACTGGATGAGGTACCAGAATAGCCAAACCTACAGAAACAGAAAGTGGAATGAGGCTGCTGCGTGCTAGAAGGGAGCAAGAATAGGAGATTATTGTGACTTATGTACAGAGCCACAGCTGTGCAAGATAAAAAGAGGTCTGGAGACAGATGGTGATGGTTGCACAACAATGTTAAAGTATTTAATGATAGCAAATTATGTATGTAAGAATGGCTAAGATGGTCTATTACTACATTTTTTAAAAATTGCCACTTTAAAATAACCATGGAATTATACTAGTGCACATGCCCCACTCAAAAAAGGGGGAAAAAGCAAGATGCCTAATACAACTACAAATTCTTTAAAAAAAAAAAAAAGGGACCTCAAAATTCACCTAACCTAAATTCTCATTCCACAAAGCTATAGATTAAACTGAGCTGGCCTAAATTAAATGTTTACAGATCAAGATATCAAGACATTCCAAGGAAAAAGAAAAATACTGAATGGTTTCACTTACAGGAGGGATTTAAGAGAACCAAATGAGATTGGATGGGGGTAATGTATTGTTATTACAAAACAAACCAACATAAAAACAGACAATTATAAACCAGAGAGATCCTACAGGGGAAGGGGACAGAGAGAGATCAGGAGGGAGGAATGTGGGGGGCGGGGGGCTAAGGTGATGATGGGTGAGGGACTAAACACTGTTATAAAATGCACACTACCGTAAATAGAGATATAAAAACAAAGATATCAGACATTTCACCAGCAGAATTCTACTTGACAACAGGATCTTTCAACTTCATAATTCAGTGCTGGCCCTTCATTACTGGCCTACAGTCAAGGTGCTCCCATCCTTTTCTAGATCAAATAACCCTGACCACTCTAAATCCAGTAACTAGAAATTATTACTAAGGCCTAAGAGAAAAACAGGCTGCAGGGCAGGAGGCAAGCCGAGTCCAGGAGTAAGAAATTCCCAAAGGCACAGAATGGCCAACACTGCAGCAAACGGCTGCACAGGTGAAGACCGCTTCTCACGGCTGCCAGGCTTACCTTGCCTTTCGCATTTCCTGTATAGATATATTCTCCTCGCCTATCAAAAGACGCAACCACGTTCAAATCAGAGTCGTCGTCTACCGGGAGAACAACATGTCTGGAATCTGAAAGGGTCAACATGACAGGAGCAGATTTCATGGGACACACGAGAACCTTGTTCCTGCGTAAAGATAGGAATAGGACACTGGCTATTGCTTTGGTGTCAGAAGGCTGATGCTTTGTCCTTTCCCTGACCTGAACCCCCTTATCCTCATCAATACTTCCAGTCCAGCAAACTTAAAAAACAGTGAAAAGTCCTGAAATGTAAATGTCTAGATAATGGGGAACGACTGAGGAAAATTATGGGATCCTACCTTGATAAAATATAATCATTAAAGGTAAACCTGAAGACTCAGCAAACTAGTAAAATATGTATGGAATTAAGTAAAAAAAAAAACAACCTGATTAACACTACAAAAAATATAGCAGCCAATATGTTTGTGAGTCCTAAAGCATTAGATAAATTTTTACTCACAGAGAACTTAACCAAAAAGAAAATCCACAGAAATAAAATCAGATGTGTCTAGGTGATGAAATAGTGGGTACCTTTTTCTTTTAAAGATTTATTTTTATTTATTTACACATACAAAAACTGGATAGAGGTGCAAGGGTTGAGAGGATTCACCAGCGAAAGAGTGGGGAACAAAACAGGTCAATCTACTGAAATGCACTGTTGAGGGGAACAGACAGGAGAGGTCTGCTGTGCCATGTGGGTCAGCTCCTTGGCTGGGGGCTTGAACTCAGGCTGCAGAGGCTGGCGACAGCTTCACAGAGCTGAGACTTTAACCCCTGAGTGACCAGGGAAGCCCCACCTTTTTCTTATATACAGTTTTAACAGTGAACTGTTCTCTGGCCCTCCCTGGTGACACACAGAGTTGGAGCGCTGCACTGCTAAGCCAAGCCATGACTGCTTCAGTGCGAGTTCGATCCCCACCCTGGAGCTGACCCACAAGGCACAGCAGACCTCTCCTGTCTCACCCTCTGCTCTCCTCGGCAGTGTACTTTGTTGATCTGCCTGTTCTGCTCCCCACTGTTTCTGGTGAATGCTCTCACCGCCCCTGAACCTCTGGCTTGTACCCCAGTCTTTGTATGCATAAATAAAAGCTTAAAAAAAAAAAGTGAACTGTTCTCCCTATTGAAGAAATTCAAATAATTGGGAGGTGGGGGAGAAAGTTCCCAGTCTAAGAGCAGTTAGTATACTTATTCTTATCTTTGCCATTTCCACAGTCTCAATATACTTACTATATACAGTATATATTAATCATATACAGGAACACTCTTTAAAATCAAATCACAGAGCCAATAAGAAATTTTATGTAAAAGAGCTTTGGCTCTGTAAAACCTTCAACTGAAATTGTTAAAGAGTCTGGAAATAATGTCTATTAAAATCAGACCCCACCCAGGAAAGAACAGCTCAGATCAAACATACTGATCGCGTGGGTGATACTGGACTTTCAAGATGGGTGATGGAAATCGAAACCTCTGGTCACAGTCGCCTGAAAGGACGTCCCACTGCGACACTATGTTGTCAGTGGAAGCACTCACGAGCTTATGGCCATCCCGACTCCAACTGCAGGGAGAGAAGAGTAATGAAGTTTAAGGATCTCTGAGTGACAGTATATCACACCAGTCTTAGATAAAACCGCCTGGGTCACAATGATTCTGGTTTCCACATGTACTCAAATCCACCACAAGCTTGCCCAACTAAACAATAAATAAGAATATTCTTGCATTTTCCTATCTAGGAACAGAAGCCCTTGAGAGTTTAAGATAACACTGCAAGTAGTTCTCAGAAACACCCAACAAATGCAAATATTTCTGAAGAGTCTAAAAGCAGGGAGCGGCAGCACCCCTGAACACCTATTACTGGTGCCTCTGTGGCTTCCCATTTATTAATAAATATGTCTCTTTAAAATGTAAAAGATAAAGTCAGCAAGCCCTTGGTGTTCATAGGACAAAAGTTTTTTCCCCCAGTGTGAAGAGGTGTCTGAGCAAAGACGTGCCATCCTGGGTTCAAGATCTAGGCGGACTATGAGAAATGGCGTGGCTAGTGGCCGAGCACGCAAGACAGTAAGCGTGGGCATCCACAATGAGACTGGCAGTGACATGGTCAAATTCACCCCCTAACTGAACTCATGTTTAACATATTCAGATTTCTTACCATAAAGAACAGACTGGATGGATATGTGCACTAATTATTTTGGCAATGCCTCTTGTCAAGAAATCCCAGATCACAATCCGGCCATCGTTACAGCCCACCGCAAGCAGTGTGCCCCACCTGTTAAAGGTGCAGGTCAGGGCCATGCTGATACAATCCAAAGTTCCATCAGCTTCCTAGAAATTAAAATAAAGAAAAGAATGTAGACAATATTACCCAGATACACAAATTACCTCTTAAAGGTTCTGGCATTATTACACTTCTCCTGAATTTAAATTATAATGTATACCACAATAATCTCTGCATGCATTCTATATTTATTAAACTAGCCAAAATGAGGAAATATTTATAAAAGCTAACAGAGCAAATGTGATTAATCCTTACATACGCAATGTAACTTGATACAAACACTCTGCAAGGCAATTGGACAAAATGTAACAAGAACCATTAAACAAGTCATTCTACTGACCATGTAGTCATAGTTCTTGGGACTCATGCCAAGAAAACTAATTTAAAATAAAAGTCCTAGAACACACTATGTGTAACATTAAGAGAACTAAGTAATTTTTTTTACATTAGTATGGAGCCATTCAAAACCCCATCTCCACTATGAAATATATTCCAGGCATTACAAAATATTTTTACATTTTAAAAAGTTAAGCACATTTACAGCATATACATTATTACTGTGCAAAAACACTGACTAAAATTAGAAAACATGGGGGGGGAATCCAAACAAAGGTGAAAGTACTATTTGTAAAGAATCCTTCAGTCTTTTAATTTCAGAGGAAATAAACTGCAAGATTAACATTATGATGAGGTTTCCAGTCCATGTCCATCCTTCCCTCAAAATTAACCATTTAAAACTTTATTATAGCAAATGAGGGATGATCACACTTAATGCTGCTGATTTAAAAAAAAAAAAAGGATAACATGTGTCTTTCACACACACACACACACACACACACACACACACACACACACACACAGCAGCAAGTTCCCAAGCTCCAAAAATAATACGCTCTTACCTCTGGATAATTCTGCCCAAAGGACTCTGCAACAAAACAGAGAGAGTTAACAAAAGTGTGTAACACTTCAGGACTCCCACAAAGTGTGGGTGGAAAATGAATGCCCTTTTGGGATACCATGAGGTCACACCTATTTTCCTTATTATACCAAAATGGTATCTGTCCTTTTATTCTCCTGATCTCATCCAGTTTATAGATGATTCTCCTGAAGCTACCTGACTTGTGATACTGTCATAGAGAATGCAAAGTCAGAGGTAATAATGAAGTGAACTTTTATTTAAGTAAACATTAAGAGATTTGTAAATTATATAAAATAACACCCTTCTTTTCAATAAGTTTTGTTTTAGAAAATAGTTGTCATAAAAATGTCAAATAATATGTAAAATACAATGGATATGATATGGTTATTTTTAAATAACAACCTGTTTTTGTTTTTTAAGATTTATTTATGTATATAGAACTGGGGTACAAGAGCCAGAGGTGGGGGGGATGGTGAGGGGATTCACCAGAGATAAGAGTGGGGAGCAGAACAGGCAGCTTGATGAGGTACACTGCTGAGGGGAGCAGCAGGTGGGTCAGGGAAGGTTCGCCACACCAGGTGGGTTACCTCCCTGGTCGGGGATCGAACTCATGCTGCAGTGGCTATGATAGGTTCATAGCGCTGTGCCTTAACCTGTTGTGCCACCAGGAAGGGCCAATAAAAACAACCTTTTAATAAACTATTATATTATTTAAAAAAAAATAAATAACCTTTTAAAAAATCAAATTATCTTATGTCCCAATATCCCAACGACTCTCCGAATACTAGTAGTAGCCAATCACCAGTGATCATTCCCCTTCCTGTCTAGTAGCAGTATTTAAGTTGTAACAATCTGGTAGCTGGGTAAACACAATTGTCTCCATTAATTTCTTATGCAAACAACATTTTGGTACAGACATCCCTCTATGCTCTTCCTGCACTAAATTTGGTGTTCACTGATCTGTGATGAACATTTCTATGTTGGCAGGATGCCACCTGCTGGTCAGAGGTTTAACTGCCACAGTAGCACCATCTTAGTATAATTTTATGCAATCACCCAAATGCTTCATTACAGAGGTTTTTAATTTTACTCTGAAAACTACAAGCCCAAAGTAGTTGTTTCACATGTAGGATATCCAAAGAAAATTTACTTTTAGAAGAAGTCTTTTGGGGCTCTCTGGTGGTGCAAGGGGTTAAAGGGCAGCAGTATGAAGCTCTCAGCTGCCAGTGCAGCACCAAGTTTCTACTTCCACCCAGGGAAGCTGACCCACCCAGCACAACAGACCTCTCCTGTCTTGCCCACTGCTCCCCACTCTGTCTCTGGTGAATCCACTCAGCCCCAAACTCTGGTCTGTGCCCCAGTTCTTGTGTGCATAAATAAATAAATCTTTAAAAGTAAAGTCTTTTTCGGCCCTCCCTGGTGGCGCAGCGGGTTAAAGCACAGCACTAAGAAGCTTAAGCCACTTCCACATGAGTTCGATACCCGCCTGCCCCGGAGTGGCCCGTCGGCAGCCCGACACGCTGCCCGCGGAGGCTCGGCCAAGCACCAGACTGCGTGTTCTTGCCTCCGCAGCCCAGGCCTCCGGCTGGGCCATGCTCCGTCCCGGGCGAATCCCCCTTCCCACTGAGCTGGGTCATGATGACCCGGGCGGGCAAGCACGCTGCTGGAGCGATGCCAGCGGGAATCACTTCGGCCTGTGCCTCCTTGTATCCGGGGAGCTGGCGGACATGAGCCCACTGCCCCCTCCTCTTGTGATTACTGCATTGTCCAGCTGGAGCGGATGTCGGGCTGTACCTGAGGTCACAGCCCCAAGCAGTCCCCAGATACGGTGAAACCAAAGCAGAATTTAGAATCAACCTCAACAGCCTGCAAGAAACTTACTTGCGTGAGCGATTCCAGCCGAGGATGGCCGAACTCGTGTTTGCTGCCACGGCACCCTACGTGGACAGGGGGTCGCCAGAGACCCAGAAGTTCTCAGAGGATGCGAACGGATCCTGTGGGCCAGCTTGGTCCTGACCCGGAATCCCAATGACCTAAGGTCCTCCAGGTCCACAGCCTGAGGAAGTTGTGTCAGTTCTGACAAATGGCTCGGCGGCCCCGCGTCACGGTGGCCTGGCGCGCGTGGCTGCGGCTGTGGTACCTGGGGGCTGATGGCCAGAACTCCTGGGTGTGTGCTGGAATCCACGTTACTGACAAGCAGCCTCGGCAATGCCGACACCCAGTAAGCCAACAATGGCAATGCTTAACCCCTTGCGCCCTGTCGTAACATCTGAGGGCATCGATGCTATCTCGTGTTTGCGCGACGTGAGAAGCAGGTCACCAGTCTGCGAGGGCACTGGAGGCATCACCCGCTCCAATCTTCACGCCTCCTGCTAAGCAGTGAGGCAGCGAGATAAAGCCAGCTCTTACAGAATATGTCAACCCAGGAGTCTCCCTGACGACTGCCCCAAACCCCCTTGCGTAACATCTTCC